TTTGAAGAGAAGTTCTGTCTGGCTTACATCCGTCACCTTGTGAGGAGATGCTCAATAACTCATCAAATAATTGTCTGTTTCTCCCTCCACCTTTTTTTTTAAAATCTCAACTTTGGACAATCCTTACGCTTTTCAGAAGTGATCTGTTTTGCTTCCCAACTTCCCATTGACTTGAGGCCAAATGAGGGTTATTCGTCTATTCCTGAACAGTATTGTGGCATCACTGTTGCAGCACTGTGGCAGTACTCCGCGTCATGTCTACCTATCTATTGTAGAAGTCTTACTACAAAAAATAGTATCCTGATGGCAAAAATGAGATCTTCTAATACATGTTGCAAGGGGCAAGTTAGTTATTCAGTTGATTTCATTGGCTCTGGTACCTGTGGCAGGGTCACAATTTGACATGTGTAGCACTTTTTACAAAATATTTCTGCATCTCTGTTCCTTGCAATTCACCAAAATTGTAGGGAAGCGGTGTTTCATGGCACCTTATTCATCGGTGTCCCTCATGTGCAAGTTCTTCTAGCTTGTAACACAGAGTCTCAGGACTTAATATATATTTTTATCAAATAGAAAAAAGTTGTCCTGCGACTCAACCAGGATAAGTAAATAGTGTTTATTTTTCAACTATTGTCACTGTTTGCTGTGATTGCACTTTCTCATTTCAATTTGGTCTTTCTTGACTGCCTGCGTAAGCCCCCCTCAACGTCTCTGGAAGCCAATGCACGAGACGTTCCATGTAGGGCCACCAACCTGATATAATCCTCACCAATTGTAGCAACCTCTGTGGTTATCTACATTTTATTTGCATTTGTTTATACAAACGATATACAAACGATCTGCTATGGTTTGAGGCCCAGATATATATTTCACATCAATCAGTATGGTCAAGGAATAGATATTTTCCAGTTGTTGTGTTATTTAAATTCGGTACCATGCAGGTGTAAATGTAGTCACAAGCCCATACAATGCATAGAGCTATTCCTTCAGTCTAAGGATATTTACGTTTTGTGCACGGCGCTAACCACTTCTCCCCTGCACAAGCAAATCACCAAGTCCTACAAGAATCGCGTCAGTGACCTTTCCCTTCCCATATAGTTAACTAGTCCCAGAAAGCTACTTACCACCCCTGTGCTCTTAGCTGGTCTGGTTTTGATCACTGCCCCCTACTTTTCCGATGTCATGACCTATCCCTCGAAAAGAAAGCAAAAGTCCCATGACCATCAACTTTAGTGCCATTTACATGAAACATCGAAAACTTCTTCACTGAAATATATATAAATGGATATAATTGGAAAACGCTATCATTATGTCAACGTAAATACCGTCGCATTAAATAATTTACATCATCAATTTTATCATCTGTGATTAACGCTATTAGTGATTTTGAGGTCACTTAGAAGATTTGTTTTAAAATGTATAGATGTTTTGAAATTATAAATCACTAAATTTGTTTGTTAAACGGTAATCTTATTCATAAGAATGTTAATAGCTTCTTATCAATTCCAATCGGTAAACGTCAGAACTTTTTACGATTTTCAATGGAAGACCATTCAAATTTGAATTAGATATTAAGAAAGTTTCAGTTTCCTGAATGCACGGAAATGACCCAGGTGATAATGATATCTTCCGGTCAGTTCAGCCCAAGCCTTGCTTTGAAGCGATCAACCCAGTTATCAATTCAACATTGACAGCCCGAAGTAAAACTCACCTATTTATTATAACACCTACGCGTGGCCCATAAAGAATACATTTACCTGTTGACCTTGCGGAAATATAATAGAACAGCAAATTCCCTACAGGCCATCTCGTATATCCCGAAACACGAGCATGCGCACAAAACTCTAGACATGATCAAATAAACTATATCACTGAAGCCTTGAAAAGTACGTGTATTAGTTCCTGTTTTCTTAATCTCGATGACGTTTCAGAAACATTCTGAAAAGATTGATCTTATCATGCAAATTGTTTAACATGCATTGTCAGCTTTATGGAATAGTTCACTCTAGCTGTAGGGTAATAGCTCTATGTCAGCATATACCAGCATCACATGGTTACAGATTTATGCCACCAACCAATAATATCGATACAACCCTGTAAACTAGCTGACCTAATACGTCCCGATTTTACTCAGTGAGGCCTGCATGGGTTCAACTGTTAAACATTTGTTTTTATTTCTGACATTATTCTTTGCTTGTGGTTGATTGCAGATTAAATTGTCTGATCAGTATTCGGCGTATGCGCAGTTTGATAGAGCGGCGGATGCTTTTTCAAAATATCTATAGCTCCCGTGCATTGACGTTCTGTGGTATAACAGCATACAAAGAGGACAATTTTAACTAACAGAACAACATACATAAATATCAAATCTCACAGAAAGGTTTTGGTTCTATAATTAGAACATAAATACATTTATATACTTCAATAAAGATGCCTTATAGTTATCATAATATATAACAATATACCCAATTACCTCGAACCATGATAATGAAATAGTGATTTAAAACTTGGATGGTTCTAAATTGAAAAATGTGTAGCCTTTGATGCTGGTATATAAAGTGACAGATATAATAACTATTTGACTTATGCAGATAAGGGTATATATCATATATAATACATTATATATGTCAAGATTTAAGCCCTTGGACAAGAGTTCCATATTACATTTCTATTTTTTAAATTCTATTTTCAGATTAATTTGCCCCATGTGAGTATACTTTTCTTTTTCTAAAATTAAGAGTGAAATTCGTTGATGACATATTATGGTGTTTGTTAAGGTGACCTTATCTACAAACTATTTTTCGTTACAACATTGTTTCACAAGATGTAAAATTGTATCTTTCACACAATTTGAATAGTTTTGTATGAATTTAAACAAATACTTCATTGAACTGAAATAAAATCTAAAGTGATGATACTCAACTCCATACTCTTTCTATTGCTATTGCGCGCGTGATCATAACACAATTAACATTTTTTGCTACACTAATAACAGGTTGGTTATGTGATAACTAGTCATTTACTTCTATCAGTAATTGTAAAATGATCTGCTATAGTATTAATAGATAGTATAAATCGGGTCCTAATTACTTTGTTGTTATAAATTATGATTTTTCCTTCTCAACAGCGGCGCGGTGGGATAGACACATGCTTTTTTGGTATCGCATGTTGCCAAGAGACATACTACTATTTATAATACAGATAAAAGCAATCTTTCACTTGTTCGTCTTTGACTTTTTACATCTTTGATTTTTACCTAATTATATGTTCCTGGCCCTGAATAAAGTTTAAGTCCCTTATTTGAATAATTATATATAGAATAAGATATAACAAAACATTCTATAACTTCCGGTTTGTTATACTTAACAAAACATTCTATAACTTCCGGTTTGTTATACTTAACAAAACATTCTATATCATCCGCTTTGTTATACTTAACAAAACATTCTATAACTTCCGGTTTGTTATACTTAACGGGAGACAAGGTCTGGTTAACCAGTCTATCCTTTCATCATTACACACATATAACACACTCCGACAACACAAAACCAAACTACAGAACCTACACGGAATGTTCGTCCCTACCGACGACAAATTGAGACCTACAAGCAAAATCTCAGGAACTGTTTACAGGCTTCGCTCGAAGTAAACTGCCAGTTTACAAACCTACCAGCCCGACTCCAGGGACGTGAATTTAAGAATTTAAGAAACCTACAAGCTTGACCTTAAGAATATGTATTGTTTCGTTAAACTTGGTAGAAACCTCTCAGCTTAAGCTCTGGGACATGCTTTTGTTAAGCTTTGTATAAAACTACCATTCGACCTCAGGGTCATGGTACTGTTTAGCTTTGTATAAACCTACCAACATCACCTCAGGGACATGCTACTGCTTAGCTTTGTATAAGACTACCATTCGACCTCAGGGACATGGTACTGTTTAGCTTTGTATAAACCTACCATTACGACCTCTGGGACATGCTACTGCGTAGCTTTGTAGAAACCTACCAGTTGGACCTTAGGGACATCCTACTGCTTACCTATTTAAAAACCTACCAGTTAGACCTCAGTGATATGTTATTGTTAACCTTTGTTGAAGCCAACCAGTTTGACCTCCCGGACATGATATCGTTTACATTTGTAGTAACCTACTAGTCCAACCTCGGATATGCCACTGTTTACAATTGTAGTAAACTACTAGCTCGACCTCAGGAATATTTAACTGTTAAGCTTTATGGTACCCTACCAGCCGGCCCTTAGAGACAAGCTACTGTTTAGCGTTGTAAAAACCTACCAACTTAACCTCAGTTACATGTTTTTGTTTAACTATATTAAATCCAACTAGCTTGACTAGCTACTATTTTCCCTATTTTACCAGCTTGATCTCAGGAACATGCTACTGTTTACCTATGTAACTACCTGCTAACTTGACTTCAGGGACATGCCACTGTTTACCTATGTAACAACCTACTAGACTGACCACAGGGACATGCCACTGTTTACCTATGTAACAACCTATTAGACTGACCACAGGGACATGCCACTGTTTACCTATGTAACTACCTACTAGACTGACCACAGGGACATGCCACTGTTTACCTATGTAACTACCTACTAGACTGACCACATCGACTTTCTACTTCTGCCTTTGTAGGAACCTACGTACAATTGTAACCTGAGACTTTTGTAGTATCTTCCTTCTTATCAAACTCCCAGAAGATTCTACTTGCTACCTTCGCAGGAACCTACCAATGTAACTTAGGGGGTTTCTGCGTCAGCCTAAGAAATTGACTACTGGCTGCCTTCGTACTAAACTACCAGCCTAACTTGAGGACGATTCTATTGATTCAAATGATATTTCCTCAGACAAGTGATGAAGACGACAGTGCGGTCATCGATACGGCACACATGCATTGTCCTGCTGGTTATGATATGAAAATATCTATCCAGGAAAAGTAAACCAAAGAAACTTTTGAGATCTTTATTAAACATACAGTTGTGCTTTATACCAACAAGAACTCGTCACAAAGGTTACATGTTTTCGGACAGGTAACTACAGCCATATGATGGAGATTAGGATCTGATGTTGGACATAATGCCCCTTGCATTCGTGCACAGTTGTCGGGGTCAGCATCGGCACATACTACAAAAAAGCGAGGTTAAGTTTCGATGTTTAAACATTAAATAACATTTAATATTTCAGCCAGAGACTAGTTTTCTTTTAGTGATAATATCATTAACTTCCTTTTAGATAAGTAATGTTCTAGAGTCAGATTCTCAGCAAGTGTAATATCAATAATTGTGATTGATTAAATTTTAATTCAGATTGTTGTGATATTTACTACAGTATAGTTTGAAACAGAGTAGTCAATTTAATGTAAGATAATTACAACAACTTGCTACAAGAGTGGAATGTTTACATATCGAGATGTATGATGGAATCCACCTCTCACATGCCGAGCGGAACCAACAGAAATGGAGTTTCCAAAGCTCATGCATTTATGAACGTAATAATATCTATTATAAATACCTTTCGGCGTTGTTGTGACTACAGGTGCTATCGTTGTGGACGGTTTGATGTCTGAAATAAAAAAAAGATGTACTATTTAAATGGTTTCAGCTGCGAAAGAGGGCTTCTAGAGTACAAAATTCCAAACGTATATAAAATTTGCTCAATATAAGTAAAGGCATCAATGATTCCAATGCATACGACATGCATTAATAAGCTGTGTTTATATCTTGGATTAAATAAGATTAGAATCGTGCGGTACGTATCTTGAAAATATTCACAAAAATACCATTATCTATCCCATTTAATTTGCTTGCTGGCCAAATTTACTGAAATAATGTTAATACGATGTTAATTTTAGTTACTGGCTTAATGAAATATTTACGATTATTCCACTAATCTTTTAGCCTTATATTACGTAACAGAATGATAGATATTGAATGTCCATCTTAAAGACCTGACGGCTAGTTCATCATCTATGGCAGTAAATTGTTATTGTGTCAGATTTACTGATACTTCGTTGGGGTAATTTATGAATACAATGTAAGTAAAATTATCAGGTTTTGAAACTCAGCATAACCGTCCTAGCCACTGATTACATAATACATGTAGACATATCTATTGTGATGTGTTGCTTGTTGGATATTTTTGGACAATGAAAGATAATATCGATCTTGATATAAATCGAAATGATTTTGTTTTTACTTTTTGATTTTTACCTTTTGGACAGAAATATATTAATTACATCAGAACTTCCGGAAAGACAATAGAAAAAGCGGTCATATATCTGAGATGAATGAAATATGAACGGTGGCACGTCATTCGATAGGTACTGCCAGAAACACATTATTATGATTTTAAAAGAAACAGATGATTAATAGGTCTACCAGTTATGAAAATGTACACACCACGACAACCAATTGAACTCCGATCACAAAAAGGACACAAGTTTACATCGACTGTGGAGCAGCTTGATGGACAAGAAAGAGAAAACGGAGGACAACCTAAAAGTATATGATTGTGTTAGAATGAATTAGAGAAGTTATCATCTATTTTCAAAACGATTTACAAGGATATCCTTTCTATCATATTTCTAAATCGGATGTCTACATAGCAAGTCAACCAGCATTCTATTTCCCTTATATTTATGGTCCATTGTGGATTTCATATAAAATATCCAAGCCTTATTTAATTGAAACGTCGGCAAACAATGAACAACAGAGAGATTTACACGGAGATTCAGGAAAAAGTACAAGGAGAATAAGACCCGGTTTTCCGGAAAAGTAAGCACCTTCTGCTTTTACGCCGACACCCACCATGTAAATATTTGTCAATTCAAGTAAGCAATTTTACGTTCCCAAATGGAAACATGGTAAACAACAATGAAACAAAAAGGTGTACTAAAGAATTTCCTGTCCCATGAAGAAAAAGAATATTTCCCAACGAGATCCTTATGACGACTTAATTTTCAAAACCATCGTTTTCATCAACCTGCTTTTCTTAAAACTCTGGTTGTGAGTTTGTCATTTGTCGAGATATCGCATTGACATCGTGATGTTGAGAAAAAAGGCCTCGGACTTGTAATCAGATGTGACATGTTAACATCATTAGTTGGGAATACAGATATGCTGTTTCTATGAAATGGAAAGTTTACAATGGGGAAATTGAAATCAAATTAATAGAATACGCTGTCGGTAAGAAAATACACCAAGGGAACTTGTTTAAATTGATCAATAACGTCTGATATCATTATGAGGAAATCGATTTTGAACAGCGCCCTTACCATTAATGTTGAAAAGTAACAATAGGCAAGCACCTACATCTACATAGAACAAACCCTTTATGACGTCGGAATATGCTGATCCATGGCAACTAACTAGCGTCATCTTAAGATATTAACTAACATGTACATCCGCCGTCATTAAACGTACTCTATCTATTGCTTTTTCAGAGAACACACATGGTTAACACCATATAATCAGAGATATTTCTGATTTCTAGCTCACTAGGTTCGAATGATCAATATATCTATCTATGTGATGGTATGTCACCTGTCTTCTATCGTCCGTCATTTTATTTCTTTTAACACACCAGCAGAGAAATTTGATAATTTGCTGCAAAAATCTACCTTTTAAATGCAAACACCTATCTTTAACACATTTTTATTTTTCTGAACCATGCTGAGAGAAGCTGGGAGGGGTCCTGTTTTGTGTAAATATAGATAACGTTAGCAGCAGAAGCCTAAATAGGAAAGTTACCTTCGTGCCTGTGAGTTTTTAACCAGATTTTGTTTGTAAGTATTATTAAGCAAGGTCATTCGCACAATTTCTATAAAATGAAAGGTTGGTCATATCAGGAACATGATGGAATCATGCGTAGGAGGGACATTTTGGTCTGGCTTACACCTCCTTATTTTGCGCACAGTTTTTTTTTTTATCGACCTCTGTGTGGAAAATTGACACGTTTGTAGTATGTTCTGCTGGATTGAAACGAAAGGTCTTAATATGGGAGGAAGTTTGAGTACTCCAGGAAAACCCACGTAATCGGGCAGGTGACCCAATTACTCTTTCATGTCCGTTCGGGAAATCGAACCACATAAGTCTTGGTAAAAGGCGAGCGCGTTGCCACTGGGCCATCCGACCACCCATACAGGTGATATATGACTTTTTTTTTCAAATTTTCATGCCTGACGTTTTAAGGTTGCTTTACAGAACGGGCGATATACCCCTCTGTTTCTTTTGATATTACTGCTTATTTGTTTTTCCCTGTTAATATCTGTAACAGGGAAAAGGTCAACACAAATTGAATGAAGTAATTAAGCCGGTGAAAAGTAAAAAGAAAATGAAAAGCACATTGCATGAACCTACATTTCTGTATGAAAAAACAGGGCGCCATTAGATTGGTATTATCTATAAATAAAAAGTATGACAATGAGGATATTCTTTCATCAATTACTGGCTTTTCCATTACACTAAACTTTTCAGATTTCACAACTGTTCCCGCTGTCGGTTTACCTGTTACAGGTGCGGGTGGCTGCCCAACAGTTGTTTTCATCACGGCTGGTGCATCTGTTACAGGTGCTGGTGGCTGCCCAACAGTTGTTTTCATCACGGCTGGTGCATCTGTTGCAGGTGCGGGTGGCTGCCCAACAGTTGTTTTCATCACGGCTGGTGCATCTGTTACAGGTGCTGGTGGCTGCCCAACAGTTGTTTTCATCATGGCTGGTGCATCTGTTGCAGGTGCGGGTGGCTGCCCAACAGTTGTTTTCATCACGGCTGGTGCATCTGTTGCAGGTGCTGGTGGCTGCCCAACAGTTGTTTTCATCACGGCTGGTGCATCTGTTACAGGTGCTGGTGGCTGCCCAACAGTTGTTTTCATCACGGCTGGTGCATCCGTTGCAGGTGCGGGTGGCTGCCCAACAGTTGTTTTCATCACGGCTGGTGCATCTGTTACAGGTGCGGGTGGCTGCCCAACAGTTGTTTTCATCACGGCTGGTGCATCTGTTACAGGTGCGGGTGGCTGCCCAACAGTTGTTTTCATCACGGCTGGTGCATCTGTTGCAGGTGCGGATGTCTGCCCAACAGTTGTTTTCATTACGGCTGGTGCATCTGTTACAGGCGCAGATGGCAGCCCAGCAGTTGTTTTCGTCATTGCTGGAGCACCTGTGGTAGGTATACGTAAAGATGAAGTAAGACATTATCCCCTTTTGTACAATCGAAGTTCTGGCATTCATGTGTCACAATGATATTATTGTTGTCACACACATCAAAAGCAGGTGCATAAATTTAAAAATAAATCAATTTCGTAAGTCACCCATAAAGAATAATCAGAAACATGAAAATTAATATGATCGAAAAAAGAAAAAAAACGAAAATATGATAGTGTGCTCCTGAATATCAGTTCGGTGTGATCTGCCGTTAGAATAGTATGATTCTTTTGGAATTCTTGACTCGATTAAAGTAACATAAATTTGTCCATGACGACAGGAGATTATCACAAAAATACGTTACATTTCCCAATAAGATGCATTATTTAACTTACCGAGGGACCAGATGTAATAACGCTGGTAGTTATTAAGTTAACGGGAAAATAAAAACTCAAAAACGTGCCTTATGTGACGGAAAAAGCCAAAAAGGAATCATATTGTTAATACTGGTAACGTTCCTTATGACTTCAAATATTACTTATCATAGAAGATGTATTTCTGTTGGTTTCGTGGATACTTATCAATGTAGATTTTTGCAAAGAAATTAAATGTTAGAATTAGTATTAATTGATTTCTAAGGTAATATCTGTCTCTGAAACCTAGTGCCTACAAAAATGTAGTCTGGTGAAAATCCTCATACTTTAAGACCCAAGAAAATAAATGCTTTAATGGCACCTTGTGTGTCCAGGCCTCACTTGTATAAAATATCTCAACTTGAGATTTCCTCAAGTCGAGATTTTCCTCAGCTGATATCTCCTCAAAAACGGCTTGTATAAAATTTTCTCAAGGAACAGGAGGAAGTCATCGGCTAGGATGTCCTGAAACTCCTTGAGGAATTTTCATACAAGATATTTTCAAAGAGATATTAGCTGAGGAAAATCCATGTTTATGGCAAGGGAAGATATTTCGACACTAAATTGTTTTTCTTTGGAAAAGGGCCGTTAAGTTTGTCATATAGACTTCTACTTGCCTCCTGCAATGTTCTGGAGAGCGGTGGAGACGCATGCAGCAGTTGCACAGCAGAGGCTTTGTGGTTGATCAGGATGCTGGGCTTCTTGGACTTTCTCGGTAGCACATTGGATAATCTAATATGAATTGAAAGGTATATATTGGAATGGTCACAATCACTTAGATGGTATAGATAAATCAAAGAAGAGAGTAGAACTTTTATTCATGTGGTTTTTTTTTGACAAATATTGTATTTATATAGTATTAAATGCCATATCAGAATTTCATTATGTAAAAATAAAATCCTATCGTTATTTTAATGATCGTCACTTTCGTTTCGTTTTTAAACGATCACGTTTAAATCAATTATACAATCTGATATTCAGTACGTCTCTTAAGGATTTTTCAGACTCCTAACGATTGCTGTTTTTTTTCCAAATTTTCCACACATTGTTGTGATATTGATGAACTAATACCGCGTGACGTCATTAAATGATTTTAGAGACAAACATCATCTATACTACATTATGGTTTGAGGGTTTAATTTACTTACCGACATACATGATGCGGATCCTACTCCCCCTTGGCTCTGTTTTATTTTGCACACCTCATTGATACCACACGTTACACCGGAACAGGCTAGATCTTTGATATATATTCCATTGTTTCCAGACGTGGCATTGCTGTGCGTGGTGGAAACACCTGAAAGGCAAAATTGTTTAGAAACCTTGTTCAATGATATATTACATATGCCTAGATGATCTAACTTTTGACTTGTAATAGGCTTGATGGAGGAAAACGCCGTACAACGGAGATTTTAAGAAATATAGACTACAATTTAGGTGAAAATAGATGGGACCTTGAAACGTTCCAGCAGAATGAAATAATACCCTCTGCTTCATGTAAAGTTTTTTCACAGTGAAAACAATTAAGGAACAACAAAATCATAATTTACTTAAAAAGGCAGCAGCAGCATACACTTACAATAGGATTCCAGTTTCCTTACCTGTTACAGTCGATATACAAGTTTCGGTTTGGCAGCAGCATCCTTCATGGCCGTGCATGTCGTGTGCATTGGTACATATTTTACGATGGTGATCATGGCATTGCTATAAAATATTAATATTTAAATATCTTTCTCAAATTAACGATTACAGATGAAAGCACACCTGTCATCGTTTCTTATGGAGATTTATTTTGATCAAAGGCATCGTTGTTATAATCATTTAAAAAATTGAAATTTCATCATCAGGTCATCACAAATTTTTCATGGTTTCAATGGTTAATAACACTCAATACACATTTTTCATGAAACATTGCATTATTTATGCAATTTCAGACTGAATGTTAAAGATTAGAATCTTTAAGGTTTAATATCGAGATTAGAATTTTTACCCGTTCTTCAATACATTCTCCAACCAGATGATGACCTTCCTGATTAAGTTTACAATACTGGAGTCGGCATGAAAAGAAAACAAAATGACTCTTTAAACTACAACATTGTTTCCATATGTATATATATGAATGTGCATCGCTATCTTGAAGGAAAACTTATAATGAATAAAAATTATTATATTATCTATTTTAATATTAACTTTTTACAAGAAATACACATGTTAGGTAAAATAGATAATATCTAAATCTGAATCGAAAATTTTCTTTATTTCAAATAAATCAGTCATTTTACGTACGAACAGTGTATCATGTTAAGGTTGAAATATCATCTTAGCGGATAGTTTTCTATAGAAAGGGCGAAACATTAAAATTACCGGACGATGCTCGTCACAGGTATGATGGAGGCACTTCAAATGTGTGGACTGCTGAACAGATAATGCTGTTGAGGAAATCCAAATAATAAATTCACGTGTAGTTGGAAAAGAGCAAATAATTTCGCCTCTAAACTAAGTAAGAGGATTCCTTGTCACAGAAGAAAACTTGATATTACAGGTATAGCAACATTCTTTGAAATAACCGAGAGAAGAACATTTGTCATGTTTTTGATGTGTGACTCTGCTGGCATCCTCTTGGTAATGACCATTGCTCCTATTAATGTAAATGGTATACTTTTAACTGGTATAATATTTCTAGATACATATATAAATATTGTACACAACAAACGCAATCTTCTTCGGAAGCCAATACAATCAGAAATATGTCTAGGGTAACTGATTAGAAGGTATTCAAACAATTGAACCACATAGTCTATATATACAGCAGATATATTGCTTAAATAATCGAGGCCATGTATTTATATGTTTGAATACACTGTAAATGTATCATTTTCTCAGATATATTTCCTTTCACAACTGATGTTGACCTAATGCTTAGTGTTAACATGACACCTCATTGATATTAAGTGATGCCATTAATACTAGTAGCAACATCAACTGATACCCACAAAGTATGTACAAAATCCACGTAAATACAAATTTAAAAGTAGATACAGCGAAACCAAGCAAATTAATCAGCATCATACAGCTAAACCGTCATTCCAGTCCTCGTCAGTGATGAGTGGGCTTAAAATGGTAGGATATGACTGAAGAAAATCAAAGTCCAAATAGTTGACTACTTGGTTAGGATACAAATCAACCTCAAACAGTAACAATTACTTTATCGGCATAGAAATTATCTGGCCAGAACGCCTAACTAAAACTAACCTTTGCTGAAATTATCGACACATTGCTGATCCGTGCAGCAACATTCGTGGTTATGCCCATGTACGTGTTCAAGACTTGCAGTGCACTCTGAATGATGCTGACAGTGCTGGGAAATAGTACACATTATTATTAATGGCTGACGTAATTCAGGATTTCGTCTCAATAGGTTATGCTGATCATTACCATGTTCAATACATGCAATATGTATTACCGATTAAATATGATAAGAACAAATAGTTCACCAATCAAAAGATAAAATGAATATGTGATATTACGCTCATATATTGTAGCACTTCATCTCATTTTTAAAGAATTGTTGCCTTGATTAAATATATAACGTGTTTATGATGAGAATTTAATTTCCATTCTCAATTTACATCCGTACATTCCTTGAAATGGATTCTATTAAACATACATTATTTATATGGATTATTTACCTCTGTAGCTTCACATCTACCTGTAAATTCATGCTCTCTGTTGACGAGGCATGCCTGTAGAAACAGAAACATTATTATATTGTTCTCCGATCTTCGTTTTAACATATTGTGTTCATAGCATACACAATTGCTTTAAATAATCTAAATATGAAGATGTTTAAGTCACGGTAGATAATGAATATTTAAGAATATATACATATATCTTGAAATTTTAATAGTGTTCCAATGAATACTAAACGATGCATTTAATTTTTTTCATAACTTCCCTTATTTAACAAGGAATACGTTAGAAAGGCAACACATACCGAATTGTCAGAATCACATTGATGTCCAAAGCAGGTCAAATGTGGACGTGAAGCCACGGCAACTTTAAGAAAAATAGATAAGATGTCATTATTATGTAAGTATCAACAGAAAGTATTAAATCTGATCAAAAATCAAAGAGTGTACATTTTCTCTCTTCTGGCAGAGTATATCTTTACATTGCCAAGTATTCGTATATACGCCTTGTTTGCACGAAATTAAGACTTTTCACGACATATATTCCTATCATACAAGTTCACATGAACCGGACTACTAATTAATTTGTTTCTCAAATGTGACATCGCAATACATTCTATATCAAATTAAATGTTCCTTGCAAAAGTTTAATTTATTAAGTACAAAGAAGTTTATATTCTTAATTTCATCTGAAGTAATGATTAAAAACGTAATTCTCCAATACCTACGTTTTAAGTTGTTTATGCAAATTTGGCTTTTACAACAACATTCGTGATGATGTCCATGCTCATGACTGGTGCTAGCAGTGCATGAAGAATGGTCATTGCACATCTGCAATCAAATGAACGCAAATTCATCACCCAGTAAGAAAGCATAAACAACGTTAGAGTGACATGAATTGTAAAAGCAAATCAGACGAGATAAGGGGAAGAAACACGACAGATACTTGTATGATACTTAATCTAATGCGAAAATGAACGAGTTATCCAAGGAATTGATAGAGTCGATATAGTTATAGTGAAAATGAAATTATGTTTTTTATCGGCATTCTTTTCTTCATTCGTCATTAAATCGTCTTTGTTTTTTTAATGTTATACATGCTAATGTATACAATATGATAAACTGCTCGTTGAAAGATATAACAAAATGTAAAACAATATCGCATGTAATTTCACTAGAATAAAACTAGGAAATCATTCAATGATATATTAATTTGGAAAAACACTTTGATATACATTTCCAAATTCGTAAGTGACAAGTTTTCTACGACTGGCCATTGGCAGCCTTTTAACATGTTTGAAAATTATTACACAATTACCTGTAGAAAGCTAACTTAATTTTGGTGTGGAAATGTGTATATAATACAAGCTTATATAGCTCCATTAAAATGATTATACAACAATTATTCGTAGACAATATACCCACGTGTTCATCCTCGCATCTACCGGTTAACCCGTGGTCTGTGTTAACAAGGCATGTCTGTAAATAGTAAAATATCATACGCTCGGTAACTGCAGTCAGAAGTTTGTATTGTTTAATTGGCATGTCAAAACGATAAAAAAATATCAGGTATTCCTGTGAAATTCAGAGATTCGTAAAGTTTGATTGATCAATGGACATTTCAATGGACAATACGAACAAATTCGTTTACAAAGATTTGAATATAATATAAACGAAATTTGATGATCGTATTTAAAAGCTTCTAAACATAAATAAACACGAAGAAAAATCATTACCGATCTATGAGCGTCACATCGATGCCCAAAGCAGTCCAAATGAACTGCTGTTGTACCTTAAACATCATAAAAGAAAACTGGAATTAAGAAAAATCAAATGTATCTAGATCATCTCTCTGTAATGGGATTAGCATGAAGTATAGAATCATAGATACAGGCCATAAAGTACATAGTCATGGATGTAAATGAAGGTGCTTGAAATTCAAGGTATTACCAATACCAAGAAAAATCGCGACGTATAGGTATTATTGGTGCTTTAACATAATCTTTACAGGAGTTAAATATTATATTAATTAAAGATATACGTCTTTACTTTTTAGCCACTACGATTATAGACGAAACCACATTTAAATGGTACTTGTTATTTGTCCAAAAAGAGTTACCTCAGGCTGTGTTAAACAGTTAGGTAATATCGTAGAATTTATTATGGTAAAATTATTGTACGGAATGAAAACCCTATATGCTAATCAAAATAGAAGTAATAAATCTGATATATTTCTAAAGTAATTTTTCTTGAAAAGAAATGCTATCTAAATTTTAAACCAATCGCAAAAAAGTATTGCCAGTTGATAAGTGACTCCAGTAGAGTCAGGATGGATGATCGAATTTTCTAGATAGTTTCTAGATAATATTTATTTACATACCAACATATATCTAAATAATCGTAAGACATTTTACATATAATGCAACAAAGAAACCATGGCAATGGGGATTACTCTTTTTCAAATACTAGATTGATCTACAATAAGAAAAGGGATAACTCCGTACTGTCTTTCAAATTTTAATGGGCACTGATGAACTTCCGGGTAAGTACAGTTCTCGCTTTTACCATACTCTGCAACTTATAGACGGTAGAAATATGTTGTTATACTATTTTTTCAATTTTAATTGGTAATGCAGAAATTAATACACTTTTTATGCTCTAACTTCAAGTATTTTATGCTAGAGTTGCTTCCTGTGATATATCACTCAAAAACCCGTGTATAGAATGCTCTATTTATCGTAATAAGAATATGAAAAAAATACATATACTTTTTTTCTGGTGTTGAAAGAAAAGATCATTGTTACTTCAGTTATTTACATTGCTCAGTGTATATGTTGGTTTAAAACATGGAACTCTTGTGTCAGTTTTTCACAAAATGAGCGACGAATTTGCACACGGTAAATGTTCATATAAATCTGAAATGAGTACTACTTACGTTTTTTGTGAAACAAAAAAATTGAACTTTTAGACAGTTTTAAAACAATATGTATTATACAAGAAAAGTCTTAGCGTTGAGATAATGAAATTATTTTGATAATGATATGTCCTCTTTCTACGTTTACTTTTGCTATACCATAACTTTTCTCCTTAGGGGAAGCAATCAAAGCAATGTCACTAATGAACCACTTACATGTCCAGCAAAGAAACAAAGACAAGGATAAAAACATCATGCTTGCCTTTCCCTCAACTTCTCTATGGACAAAGACCACAACGTTTCACCTTGGCCACACTGACCTATGACACTATTAATACAAGCTTCATTGATAAGGATTTTGATAACATTGTAAGATAAACGTCAAGTACAGTTTAATTCTCGTTGTGCCCTTTTGCTGTTTGACACGCAGTTAAACTTTCAGTGTGAGATCGGACATCCGTTTGGATATAGTAGGCCATGTAACGCATTCGTGGGACATTGAATATAGGTTACTAAACTAAAAATATGAAATTGATGTCATTCGATCTGCTTTACCGAAAAGAATGTTGTATAAAAATTAGATTAATTAATTCAGATCAATTACAAGTTTATTTGAAAATTACAAATTCGGGGGAAATATTTCGAGAAAGAAAATCTTTATTTATACTCTTTCTTCCAAAAGTAACAAGGTGTGGGAAAAGCTGCACTTTTCAACCTGGAAAATATCCCTTTACATATTCCATGATAGATTTCCACGAAGTAGTATATTAAAGGTAATTGAGAACAGTATATATGCCGTGAATTATTTTGATATTCTTTGTACCATCAATAGGTCGATGTCATGGAATCATAGGTCCCAAAGAAGATCAGGGATCTCGCTGATGAGTTTAAAAGCAAATACGATGTTTACACTTTACGAAGTTCCTAATAACGTCAATTAAAATATTTCAATTAATATATTAAATTTTTTTTTACCAATTATGGTTTAGCGTGTTTCACTTAATTTAGTTTTATGGTTTTAAAAACCATCCACTTGGTATTGGAATAAGTCAGGATCAAACTTCGCAATTCTAATATGTTCGTATTGGCTAACGTTCATAGTATTTTCATAGTAATATTTTTCTTTGAAATTATAACAGTTAGTGCAAAGACGCAAGAGAAAACATCAGCATGTTGGTTCATTTATTGTTTTCAAAGTCAGTATAGAAAGACGGCACACTTTCTGCTAACATGCTACAATTTTAATGCATTTTGAGTGATTTTATCGGAACCTTTACATCAAGATGAGAAAATCGATAAACAGCATTCAGTGTTTATGCTTTAGATTACTACTCCATTAAAGATAGATATATACTTGTGGTATTATCATTTTGTGTAAGGGGCAACAAGCTTGTAGCTTACTACATTACTCTCACTATTCATTTCAGATAACTCTTCTTGAATTCTTTTTATTATTTTGATAAAAAACATTTTTGCATGAAAATACATATCACGGCAGGGACGAGATAACTTAAAATCATGGTCAATCCAAAAATGAAATAGAGGAAATTTTGAGGTTTATGCATATTTCTGTCCACATTTAGATGTTCTTAAAGGATCTGTTTCATGGCAATATAATTTTGCCCACATCCTAGTTTAATCTTCATTATGTGTTATTTGAAGTACCCCAGTAAACTCTTAGGAATGTATGTTTAATGATTCCAAAAGTTACCTCTTGCCTTTGCCATAATTTATGAGTTGATCCTTAACCTGGGTGTGCACATCTTACTCCAAAACTTGTTCAAAAGTAGCAATAAATAATTAAATTGGGTCAAATACTCTTCATTGCAGTATGTTGCACGTTTTGAACTCAAATATAAAGCTAAATATTACAAATATAAAAAAAAGTCATTGGAGTTTAAGTAGGAAAAATCCGAATTTTTCACAAAAGTTTTTTCGAAAACTGATAAACTTACAGTTGTTATTCATCTTAAATATTTACATATACTTTGCCAGTTATATGTACTTAAAATATTGAAAATTTCATCAAATTTCATAATGAAACAGAAAAAAAGGGCATGACTATTTCATACATGTGTTAAGACACTGACATAGATTTTTTGAGATATAAATTTATAATCCAAAATAGTTGCTTATAATGATTGATGCCATACTTCAGACATACAATGGTAATAATTCACAAATGTTTATTACTTTTTCAGTTCAGATTTCTGGGACTTATTTTCTGATTCTTTCATTGAGACACTGGCAAGTTAGTTTATAGAATAGAATCTTTAAGTTTGTTACGGTGTGGTTGCATTGGTTTCGGATGTTCTAAATGTACATAATACCCCAAATATTATATTATTGATGCAACGTGGACACACATGCCAGAGATTATCATTCCTGCAGGACATTAAAAATAGTATGCCTTCAGAGGATCATCAGATTCATTCCAGTCAAACATAAACCAAACATTATGCTTCGTTTGAGACTTGTGACAGAATGAATCTGTCCTCGAATGAGATCATCATCGAGCTGGTAGACCCAAATCTCGCAATCACCGTTATCTATCTGATGTTCCACAATATAACCAGGTGACTGTTTGACTTGGTTCGTATCGCATGTGATGGTCATGTTGTGGCCTATACCAACTCGCTTTACCAAAACGTTGTCGTTTTGTACGAGCCAAAGCATTCGCTGAACCGTTTGTCCATATGCATGGTACGTTTAGAACCATTTTTCAAAATGAATAATAAAACCCAGACGCACCTCCATTTTATAACAACGTTTACAATTAAATGTGTACAGATTAATGATGATGACAAAGTTCACAGAAACATGTTCGATTTTGTTCAGTGGTGCAACAAACAGCTGTAGATATGATAACAGAAAAAAGTAACGTATGAGTGTAACTAGTCTGTTTATTAAAATCCTTAAATAAGAGTCTATATAATTGTATTTACTACAGTAGATTGATACACTACATATATATTGAATTCCTTTATCTAGTATCTGAATCATAACTGAATGTAATGGAATTTTTAACGCATTAACGTTCTATATGCGAGTAGATGTTTTGTTCAGGAAGGTGGTTGCAAAAACATAACACGCTGAAGAACACCTTCAGAACTTGTCGGAATTAGTAAAATATGTATATCAAATCAGCGATAAGGAGTTTCAAAATATCCTTACTCATCCAGCATTTGCACGCCAACAATGGAAATAAACTTCATGATTTCCGGTCCCTGAAGCACACAGATATACGCCAACATATATGCACTGAACCTCAATCAAGTCATTCCCATGACCTTAAGTGTACTCTTTTGACAGCACATGATGTAGAATGACCTGACAGTGACATTGATAAAGTTCGAAATCTCCTACTAACATATGTAATATATTAGTATCTTTAATTAAGCACTAGGTTGTCAGTTATATATATATATATATGAATATGTGAAAGCTGTCGTTTAACTTGTAGCGATTATCAATTTCGTTCAAGTTGTTTTAAATAATTTTGACTATTGACAATCTCCGTTATGAACCTTTCACATACATTATACGACTATAAAATAGTACACCGAGCTTCCAAGCAAGAACTGATATATACATTTTTATTTCTATTTCGACTTATTTTATTGACATGAAAAGGATTCACATGCTGCCTACACAACATTTGTTATAACTTATCATCGGTTCTTGCCAATCAAACAACAAGCAAACTAATGATTACATAGTCCATCATATTGGAGCACAGGCAGATGCTGTGGTATATACAGTATCATTGTAGATATAGAGTTCATTTATGGAAAGCAATCGTTTATTTGTGATAAGAATTAATATGATAAGCTGTAACAAATATTTTAAGTTTCGATTTAAAGATGTTCTATTTACAAAAAAAGTCTTTGTACACAGTTATTTTCAAACATAGCAGGTATCATACTCTCGCTATGTTTACTGCAACACCTATTTCGAAAGACTGTACTCTAAATATACGCAAGCGAAGAACAACCTTCCATATAATATAACCATATTATAAAGTTTAACTGCAACATACAGCTGTTTCGTCCTTCCAGTTACTTGCACGCCCTGGCATTTCTTTCAACCCATTTCGATTTCCTCCATCGCCATCAACGTTTCAGAATTTTAGTCAAAATATTGATATTGAGGAAACCTTGCCCAAAGCAAATCAATATAAAATAGAAAGCCTGAACTACCAGAATTTTCAGGAATATCAGGCTCATAGTCACAAGTTAACTTGAAAATAAAACGTTGGCATGTTATCCAAATTCGCCGCATTTGTATATTATGTTTAAAACTGAAATGCATTATGATTGTGATATTGATATCTGACTTAAGCGATGTATTCCAACAGATGATTTTTCAACAGACTATTGCCATACCTATGGGAACTCACTGCGCCCCTCTTTTGGATGACTTTATTGAAAAGCTTATCAAAACAGGTCACAAAGACCTTGTAATGTCGTTTAATTTTCACTTCCAGATTCATTGATGATAAGATGATATGGTTAAAATTTATTGACTACGTCCATCGTATATACCAACCAAAATAGGAAATCAAAGACACGACTCTTCTACATCAGCTACATATTTCGAAATTTTCCTACAACGGAACCAACATAGATAGCTTAGAACTAAATTGTATGATGAACGCAATGATTTCAATTTCCCTATTGTGGATTTTCCATTTCTGGATAGCAATATCCCTGCATTCCCCACCTATGGTATTTACATGTCACAGTTGATATGATATTCAAGAGACTGGTCCCATTATCACGATTTTCTTGCAAGAAATCGTTAACTGACGAACAAATCGTAACACATGGGTTGAAAAGATGCAGGTTAATGAAATTTATTGGAAAGTTTTATTGTATCCTTTGTGATCTCATTAAGAAACATTCTGTACCTTTGTGTGATATCAAGCTATGTGTGTTTGCATGTTGGTTCCGTTGTTGTATACAGGAATCTTTCTTTTGTTCATTTTTGACCTAGTTTTAGGGAATTTGAGTTTGGATGGTGATTATGTTGCCATATTGGTATATTTCTTCAATCATCATCTCATGACCTCTGAAGTAGTTGATACATATGAATATCAATGTTCTATCAAACATTTTTTGAACATGCTTTATTATGCAGTGTTTTATGAGAAGAAGTTGTTTTAAAAAATTATGTAAATACAAATAGTAATCGTAACACATTTTATATAACAATTCTTTAAAATCTTTAAAAAGTAGGATACTTTATCAATCTGCAGGCATTGGAACTTCGTCTTGCCCAGAATTAAATTCTGTGTTCATCTCCATAGAATTTTTTTTCCAGAAAAAGTAGTTATCATTACTGGTTTGTTGAATATCCAGTCTGGTTATTATCTGAGAACATTACTTCTTGGGGTTAACAGAAGGCAAAAGAGCACTTTTTTCTTTAGGAACATCTGGACTATCTCAATGTCTGTTTAAAGTTTAAATACCTTATGTTATAACTCTGTCAACTTTTTTTTAATGGCATAGAGGCTTTGCTAACAGATCGTAGTTTCTTGTTATCAGTTTCACTCTCGGCTTTAGATATCAAACAACTACAAACCCTTTTCATTGTGAATTATTTTATCTTATATAAGCATGTTGTTTCGATTTGCCTCTAGTTATATTTTCTAGATATTAACATTTTCATGCCGAACCTACGATGCCTTGTTCTGGCAGTTCAATAGATAATCAAGGCACCGTTCCCAGTATCATGAGTTCCGTGACAAATGTCGAAGGTTGACATAAGATTTACAACGTGTGGTTCCGAGATATGCCGCTTGATGAAGACTTTTGGGCTAGTAATTTGGTTGTAATATCGGTTGATCTCATTAAGAAATATTCCATTGTACGACGCCGGGCGTGTTTGCTGCTCGTTGGAAGCATGGGTTTTACGGTGTTGTTAAAATTGTCCTTATACGGTAACGTAATATCACTTTCAAGGATTGACCAAAATTTACATTGCGAGTGACGTCGATAAAGCAGAAAACGTTTACACTTTATTATCCTAGTTTTTTGATGATTTGTCTGCGTGTAAATCTTTCTTGTGTCTGTGTTTTGCCGGCGTTTGATGTAATTTATGTTGGCATTAAAATTGTTGATGGCATGTCAGTACTTTCTATTTTGTTACTGATATAATATGGATTAACAGCACGAACTACTGTTCCATATCGAGAAGTCGCATACATAATGCAACATGGTCTTACCTCATCCACACACAATTATCATTACTAAGTTAACAATTTGATTTCAATAGCAAAACGAAGCACGTGTAGGAAACACCTGCTAAGATAAAAATGCAGGCCATGTTTTTCGATGGAAGCTTTCTTCTATTTGATATCACAACAAACTTTTCAATTTTACTCAGATATGATAAAACTAATTTTCGACTAACAAACTGATTTATAAGGCTGACAAACAACAAGGTGTTTGCATAAGCTTTAATAACAATAATGGTTAACTTAAAAAAAGAAATTACAAGTTAATCATAACAACGGTTTAATGTTATCTTTTAAAGGACAGACATAAACATATGTCATATATATGAAACATGTCATGCAACGTGAGAAAGACTAGATTTTCGTTGACATTAAATTCACCGAGAGGATATAATAAGTAGTGCTGAACATGTACTAATCACATCACAACACCTACACTATGTCAGTTGTTAATACCTGTATATGTCATCATACTTTATACCTACGCTATTCAGTTGAAAAAGCAACATTGCAGTATTTGGTTCACGTTTTTAATTCCGAAACTATACAGTTGTATCAGAACATAGCAGTAACCTTCCTTTTATCTGCCACCCGGAACAGTCACTGCAAGTAAAATTATCGACAATTCGAAAATGAATTAAAAAAAAAAAAAAAAAAAAAGAAAAAAGAAAACTTTCACGCATCAGTTTTGCTACTAGTTTAACATATATGATTGACAAATGGATCACAAATTCATGACATTTCAATATGATATGGGCGTGCCAAAATGTCAATCCATGAAATTAACGATGACAATAAAGATGCATGCAAAAGCATTACGATTTCATTTTAGAACGAAGTTTTTACTTACGACCGGATAAGTGTTCTGAAAGGTTTAAGGTCACCATATCAGTATTAAAATATTATAATTGTCACTAATAGTAACATAGTCATTCTGCTATATGATATATTAGTGTATTATGTTAAGAACACTCTTAATGTATTCCAGATCAACTATGAAACATTATATGGAAACATTTTTTTAGACAATAAGGTTTTAGTAAAAAGCGACATCAATGTTTGATGAGCTCATTTTCTTATTTGAAGAAAAACAAACTAATAGTAACATAGTCATTCTGCTATATGATATATTAGTGTATTATGTTAAGAACACTCTTTAGTGTATTCCAGATCAACTATGAAACATTATATGGAAACATATTTTTAGACAATAAGGTTTTAGGAAAAAGCGACATCAATGTTTGATGAGCTCATTTTCTTATTTGAAGAAAAAAAACTGTTCAAAATATTGAGTGACAGTTCTTATATAAATTCAATAAATTAACTCGTGAAAACATGGATCAGTAGTATAAATATTTACAGGAACAAAGATGTATTCAGCATTGTATTGTTACCTTACCGAGTAGATACAGTAAACGGCTCCAACCCATGAGGGGCAGCGGGTCGCCCCCTCCCGTCGTCAAAATACTGACATTTGTCGGTTAGACAACGCCAAGCAATACGAAGAGTCATGGAGACGGAAAGCTTGTAACTAACTAAGAAATACTAACAACTTACGATGATATTCTTTACATAGATTACAGGTCTTGGCACAGTTGGCGATGGCGTAGTTCTTCGCGTGGGTATTTTGAGATGCACAGAGTACGGAGGACATTATGACACAATTATTGTTGATATCGTGGTCAATACAAGGCAGTGGAGTCGTTGTGTTCAACACAGCTGTTCAACAGAGCAAGAGAAAACTTTAACTAAGTTTTAAGATATGCTTTTGCCCACTGGTTTTTTCTTTTTTTCCAGGTTTCTCTGATCGGCTTTTCAGAATAATTCATTGATGTATTTAGTTTTGTTTAGAAACATTAACCTATAAGATGTGTAAATTCTGTATGTATATTTTTGTCATTTCATCTTAATTCTAATTTATAAGAATGAAAACTAAAGTGACTACCAAGTTATTAAGACGTTGTTATTAAAACATCATATAAACATTTAAGAATGTGGTATTTGTGTAACCTGTTGCGGTTGTCTTTCCAGCAGTCGTCATCGAACCTCCGTTAGTTCCTGTTAATGTAAAGAATAGCCAAATACATTTTGTAATAATTTAGTATAATACATCACCTTGTATTCCATTTAAAAATTTTCAAGACTTTACACGTGCTTTTTCCCGCTCCTAATTGTTGGAATATTTTGAATTTGAGATTTTGTAAGCCATGTATTGCCTCATGTGACTACTTTTCTAGTTCTGTGGCGAATAAGATTTGTTCATTAAACAAGGAAAATGATATATTGCATATTGTCTCGTATCATGTTTTAACTGAAATGTTGTTATGTGCCAGTTAACAGTTTGCTTTCGTCTTCATGAAAAATATAGCATGTATACCTCCACAAATACCGCAGGTTTTACGACATTTTGTAACAGCTAATTGTGCCATTAATCCACTGGTTTGGGCACACAAATGGTAAGTGGTATCGAAACTCTTGCAGTTAAATGTAGGATCTTCTATATCGAAACAGGTGGGCGCTGAGGAGTTGACAAGTTAAAGACACATGTTATACACAAGCAATGCACTCAACGAATTTGTATGTTGATGTTTATAGTAACAGTTATTGGTTTCTACACTTAATAGTTGTTTGATTTTGAAGAGTAAGAAATGATACTTTATGACAAATAATTACGAACCACTTTTTCAACAAAACAGTTATGCATTATCACTCAGGTACCTGTCGTTCCAGCTGTATGCGCAAGTGTCGGCGGCACGGTTGATACTTCAACAAAAATATACATAAATATTGAATAACAGGAGCAAGGATTTATCACAATGATACACGCTCATTCATACATAAACGTAGCTATTATGTTCTTTAAGCAATTAACAACATACGTCGCATAGACACCCTCAAATCCTCACGGAAGCACATATAGAATACATCATCCGATTTCATCGATTTCCCAAATTATTTGTTTTTGAAACCGTAATTCAATTTTTTTTAAAACATAGGAAAAATTTCTAGTTACATAAAACATATATACCATCATGTATTCCCAGCGCATCTAATATGCAAGTACTTTCATTTCTGTGACAACAGAAATTACACTGCAGTCCTGGTTGAAAAGCGAATGGAATGGGATGAACATTACAAAGTACACTGTTAGAAGCCGCTGCCAATTGACAAGCCTGTGTGAATAAGTACAGAGGAATGAAGCTGTGACACACGCAAGAAAAAAAAACTTACAAGCTTTAAAAAATAATAAAAGGAAAAACTATAAAGGATAAAAACAAGTCTATTACATAACCAATCAGCTTGGTTTAACATGAAACATTATTTACTTTTGCATAAACAAAACATACGAGAAATAGGTTTAGTCTATGAATTCTGTTTACGAATATTATGTTAATGTTGTCATGTAATTATCTTGAAATATTCATTTTATACTTTCAGACAGTTTTAATACATCCTCTTTTATAACATAGTTTGTAATTTCTTATAAATAAATCAAATTTAAAAGTCACGTGATTGCTACATACCTTTGAATGTGTGTTGCAGCCGGATGAAATACCTGCTCTTGTTTGTGTTATCATACAACCCTGTATAAATTACAATCATAGTCCGTCCATGGAATATATATATCAATTACCTCTCTTTGCTCAAATTATATCAAAATTATATAATATAATCCACATGTAGAAGCAAAATTGTATTGTCTTTCCTACTTCAACGTGAGCTATTTTGTTCCGTTTTCAATTTTGATTAAGTTATGTTAAGCTTATTGAAGTTATATCAATATGAAATCTTTCACCTTGCTCAAATAAGAACACTTTCCCTGAGTAGCCAAACACGATTTCGGATCTGCAGAGTTTTGACAACTTGGGCAGGTGTAAGCCACTATACGAATGAAAGAGAATAATTTCAATATATCAGTGTCAATACATTGCAAAATAAAAGATCAATAGACATTTAAGGATTACGGAAGAATCTTGGATGTTTTTTCTAAAACGTCCAGCTATGTAACGCACTTGCTTTCCACCTCATAAAAATGCTTTTATGATGTTAAATATTTAAAAAAAAATACTACTAATCGTTTAATCTGTAGACAGCGCCTATATCTAAAAAGAACAAAAAAAAAAAAAAAAAAAAAATGGGTTTAATATCTGTTGTTATCAAACACCATTTCTAGGTAACAAGAGTTTGCATGAAAAATGAAGCTTATCTATAAGTAATTAATCAACATATTGTTTACATTGCAAGTGCTTTAATTTTGCTTATGTTTATGAAAGTTTGTAGTTGATTAATGCGTCAATAGTTTTCTATATTAACACTGAATACGCATGTCCTAGATGTGAATTTAGAAATAGGAACAGCTATTTTTTCTTTAAAAATTTTGATGATGCACTGTTCATTTCTGAGTTATGACAATACATTCCACAATATCACTAGCACTCAGTGTGAGATATTGTTTTTAAAATATGTTTACTCACTAGTGTGCATGTTTCTAAAGGCAACATCGGTACAATTCTTGTCTTCACAGCATATACTGTCTCCAATTCTTTCGTGATACTGACAATCAGAAATCTGAAATTGAATATCAATATATCATCCATATTTCATCCAGAGAAGATTGTGTTTTCAGTACTGTAAGTCGCAATATTTCGCGGGGGATTTATTCGCGTCAAAATTCAAATCGTCAGGGATTATTTTAAAGAATGTATTTCTCTATGACAGCCATATTGATTCGGTTACCGATGTCGGCGTCTTCATATTGAAGAGTTTATATATATGTGTCTGAAGAGGAATGAAGTGATTTACAGTATTTTTACAAGTGTCAAACATCAGTTTTTTTAAAACAACAATCATGAAACAAGAAATGAGACACATATATCCTTTAATTTGGTTAAGGGTACAGTGTACCTATAAGAACATGCATGTATGTCAATTTTGTTACATAAGCTCCAATTGCTATTTCATAAAGTGTCGTGTTGGTGGCGTGTTAGTCTTCAGAAATTCTTGTAATGTTTACAGGGTTTCGTTTATTTTCATTATGATACAAAACAATGATTTCGAAATGAAAACAAAACAGCCCTGTACGATATACATACGCAAGGAAAAAACACTCAACGATTAAACTCTTAAGAAAACGAACGAGTTAATAGGATATCGGGATTATTAGCCACATGATAGGGGAATACCTCCACACAGCCAGTTTTGAGTTTCCCCCCAATAACTTGTAGCATGCAGCCCTCATTCGCTTTACATCGAGAATTACTCTGACAGTCGGCTTTGAAATCGTCGGCACAAACTGGACAGTAGAGCGGTATATCCGTTGTTGTCTGAACTGTGGGTACGTTTGTTGTTGCAAGTGGTTTGATTGTCGGAACTTTGGTTGTCGGAACTTTGGTCGCAGGAACTGTGGTAGCCGGAGCATTTGTTGTTGATGTGGTTGTAGTCATTGTTGCTTTGAAGAAAAATAAGATCAAAGTGAGCAGGCGTTAGCATAGATATATATCCCAATTGCCTCTCATATTTATCTATTGAGGGCTTAATCTTTTTAAGGGGTTTATGATATGTTTTGTACGCCAGCTGTTCTTTTCAACGGTGACTTTTGACCTGTCTTGACCGATGACCTCCAAAATCAAAACTTTTTAAAAACTTGGTAGTGTGATACATTGGAGTGAATATAAATAAAATATGTTCATGAAATATTTTGTACCAAATTGTTTTTATGTATTTCAAAATTGGTCGACGGTGACCTTTGACCTTTAATCTTGACCGATGATCACTAAGATCTAAACATGTGAAGACTTCAGTGAGGTGATGCTATGAAGTGAAGATTAGTTAAACCTTTCCAGTGCATCTTAGAATGTGTGGTACACAATGTTTTCATTTTAAAAGTTGTCAGTGGTGACTTTGAACTTAGACCTTGCCAAAAGACCACCAAAACATGATTAAGTCTAGACCTTGGTAGAACGATGTTATGGGGGTAAACATGAATAAAATATATTTATCAATTCATGAAATATCTTGTTACAATGTTATCATGGAGGCGAGGCACGGACGCATGGATAGACGGACGCACGAGTGGAGATATAATAAAATCGAGAGGTTATGTTGAAAAGTAGTATATTCCGTATTTCAAACATATAAAGCATTGTACTGATTATTATATATACCACAAGAGAGATTTACACATGAGAATGCAACATATGTAATCAAATTTCACATTTAAATAAATACTTGATATTATAATTTTTCAGCAGATTGCGGTTTGATAGTAAATACTCTTCAACGAGAGTTTACAATTATAAAAGGAAACAATTGCCAGTTTGTATTAAACGTTGAAATACAGTTTCTGAAACAGCACTAAATTGTGTGCAATTGTTTATAGCTTATTTAGATAGATGGATTCATAAATACTCACCGGCGAGTACAGTGTCGACACAATTCTTGTCCATACAGCAACACTCATGATGATTTGCTAGGTTGCCATGATGATCTACACATCCCCAGAATTCATTCTGACAATGCTGGAAACAAAATTAAAGATATGTCTAGAATAAATCATTCCTTGTAATAGACAGGGATATTTTTATTAGAGGCCTGGCTTTCAACATTATTTTAAACTTAGAAAAAACAAATAACAAAAAAAAAAAAAAAAAAATATTATCTGCATTCAAAGCTAAAATGCACAATAAGAAACTTTCTGGAAGTAGTAAAACATGTTCTACTATTTCTTACATCGAGGAACATACATCACCTAACTTTATCGACGACTGGATCATACTGATGTTTTTTTTGTTTCGCCTGTTATTAAGATCAATACCAAGTTTGAAAAGAAACATTTTCATATAATTTGCACAGATGTTTCATTAAAATTAGTGACTTAAGGAAGTAGATTAAATTACTGTATATCGGGAAATTTTCGCAGCGTGCAATTTCACAAGTCTCGTCCACGAACAAGGAGGACGAATTGGGGTGAATTTGTTAAAATTATATAATCATCTTATATAATCCTTAAAGGAATGAACATGAGGCGAACTCGAGTATAATAGTGCAAGGGTGAGAATTACACAGTATACAATAGTAATATTGGTATATAGGATGAATATATACAAGGAATCCCAAAGGTAATATATGGGGTCAAGAGTGCCAATAAAGAGCGGAATTTTACCATTTTGGTAAAATAACAGATCCTTCATGTAACAAGAGGATTCCGGTCTTAATTATGAACATATTCCTTGAAATTGGAAAAGGGTTATTACGAAATGAGAAATATACGAAAAAACTCCAAAAAAATGAGGAATTACGCAAGAATAAGCATCCTGTACAAATTAAGGAAATACACGGATTAAACACTATCGTTACAAATTGAAAAAGCTCAATGAATAAACAGGGTTTACCAGATTCTTTTTAGGGAATACATGGATTAAATGATATCTAGTTGTGAAATACAAAATTATGAAGATTAAACAGGGTCTGTACAGAATGATGAAATACACGCAGTAAACTGTTATCTGTATGATTTTGTAATCCATTCCTTTGGTTAGAATTCTGGAAGAACTGTGTGTTTGCCATAGTAATCGTTTATCTGGAATTGCTGATAAGCAACTGCCGATGATTTCATAAGAGACATACTGTAAATTCCTACATAACACGCACTTGTACCATTTTGGAACATCTGCTACCCTTATTACTTACGTGATGATCCTCACACCGGCCATGACTTAAATGACCATCATGATGTTTAATAATAACGCAGCCCTGTCCCTGTACGGTAAAATAATGGCAAAGTATGTTTTAAGCTAATTGATAACACTTTAAAACATTGCTATCAAGAAAAAAATCAATCATCATATATATAACATTTATTTTTTGAAGAAACAGGCTTAAACAATCTTTGCGTCAAAACAAAACTATGTATTTCAATCACAATTTGATTTAAGTTGGCCCTCCAAATTTACAGACATTTGAACAACTAGGCATGAGAATTACGTTTCATAATAACAAACGAACACACTCTCTAAACATTAAACGTTTCTTATCAACCGGAACGTAACCCTAAGGTTATTTCTTTGTTTAATTGAGCGGTTACGTACACTTGTCTTATTGTGATAGTGTACAGAATGGTATAACATATGATCATATTGAATATTCGAAATTGGTCCAAATTGTCAAGAAAAGGGGTTTTGTAGTTGTGATGAAAGTAATATCTCACTTAAGAGTGACAATGTCATATCATATGCATTGGATTTTTTTTTCAAATGAGTACTGCTGTGTCAAAACCGACATCGTTAAACATTTTTCTATCTATTCCACTTGTGCTATGCTATTTAAAGTGACTTCGAGAAGGGTAACTCCAGTGCATTATAAAGGAAAGGTGTTAAAGATACCAAATATATGGTAAAATATATTACCTGACACTCAGAGTATGAAGTCCGCCTGTATTTATCACCTGTACATGATCTACCACAAATATATGCATCATTCATCATTTATACTAACCACCATTATAAGTACTATCAATTCTTGGTTACATTCGTATAGTGATGTTGTTAGCTCAAGAAGTGGAATAAGTAGTATGTTGATTTTAAGTAAATCCAAAGAGAGTTTGACTAAATCGCCAATAATCTCTTCCAAAAACATTTCTTCTATAAGAACATATGATTTTTCCACCCCATTTCATACCCCATTCTAAACTGAAGGACTACCTTCGTTCTCTTGTTATGAGAGCATTCTTCTCCAAGAAAGATGAACGGCGATATAAATATATGGTTGTGAATTATACTGAGGCGTGTTTCGTAAAACAATAAGTCCAATTCAAAGAAGAGAGATACAGAGGACGAAATTATAGCAATGATCGAGTTTCTGGTAAACATCTTCGTCGAGCTGTGTGAACAAATTGTGCGAGGGATTCATGCTGACTTGTCTTCGTTTTCACACGAGGCTTAATGTATTGAAGAGCTAATCAAAACAGGTCACCAAGACCTTGCAAAGTCGTTTAATTAATTTGCACTTTCAGATATATTGATAACGTCTTGTCTTTCTATAACAAGAAATGTATTGACCACGTCCATAGTATATACCAACCATAATTGGAAATCAAAGACACGACAGACTCTGCTAAAGTAGCTGCTTATCTCGATCTTTTCGTACAACGAAATCAATACGGACAACTTTCCACCAAGCTGTATGTGAATTGTGAATTTTCAGTTTTTGGATAGCAACATTCTTGCACCCACAGCCTATGGTATTTACATGTCACAGTTGATTTGATATTCAATTGTCTGTTCCGATGACCACAATTTTCGTGCAAGAAGAAGGATTTTCTGAAGATTGAGAATATGGATTACAAAATAGTCTAATGATGTTTGCAATATTATACTAATGAGGTGTGACATATTATTCCGATGTGGTGTGACATATATTTCTGATGAGGTGTGACATAATAGCTTGGTGAAGTGTAACATAATAGCCTATTGCGGTGTGACATGATAGTCTGAGGCGGTGTGACATATTATTCTGATGATGCATGACGTATTATTCTGATGAGGTGTGACATAATATTCTGACACAATAATTATGAACTACTTTAAGTTGCACCTTACTGACACACGGTAATCTGATAGGAAAACCTAGGTAAGCTATCACGTCTAACCGGAGAGAAGCCTCTCTTTTTCAAACGATTACCTGGTGACAGTGATGTCCCAAACAGTCTATATCATCCGGATGTGCTGATGGAGTCGTAATCATACCTTATGAAAAAATGAATAAAAAAGATGTGCTTTTTTCATTGTAAGTTTAACCGACAGATATGAATCTTTCCGTAGTTCAGTTGACAAATATCATGACACAAGACTCGTGTATGATATAACACTTTACAAGAACATGTTTATAAAGAAATTTAGGAGTTATTATATGTACATTTAAACAATAACAGATTATGTTTAAACATAGTTAGTTAGAATGTAAAATTCATTCATTGTCACAATAAGACTTACCTGCCATGAAGTTGGTGATGCAATCTGTAGTCTTACAACAACATTGATAATCGTGGGAGACTGTTCCGTTAGTACACATTGGGTGATGGTCACAGTGCTGAAATAATAGTAACTTACTGCCAGACGTTTTTGTAATCTTTCATTGCTTGATTTACTGATAGAATGTCTTTTCCAGGGTTTTGCTGTAAGCATTACATCTTATAAATAGCTACAGAGTAACCATAGTATTTGTGGTATTTATTACACCCAGCACACCTGTCATTGAGTGAAGTTATCACAGATTCAATGTAGATGTCCGTACTTCAGGACATCACATGCACCATGATGTCAATAACGCAAAAATATGAAGTGAGAATAACGAAAATCTAATTTATATGTCTCTTAATGAATGTAATATTCACGAATGCTTGCACAGGTACTCGTAACTCAGTTAAATTATATTAAAGAATCCTACATTAGTTTCGATTTTATTACCGATCTATGAAACAAGCTTACGCATTTTTCATTAAATCGAGTCATTCCGATGTTTTCATTTTACCAAGCCAAAGGATGGATTAAATCGATTTATGAGTCTCGTCATAAAACAATTGTAGCTTTTTCAACATCCCCTATTTTAAATACAGTGTACATTTTACTTATTAAAGAAATATATTCATATATGTTCAATATCTAAGAGTTTACCCACTTCAGGTTCTTCACATTTTCCATGTGCATGTTCTCTGTCCACATGTATTGTACACGCCTACAACAGAAACGTAAATCAACGTATTAGACATTGATACATAAAAAACACTTTGTAACCTGTCTTACTTTAGACTTAAGCAAAATATTGTTAATGTTTAACAATTAAGAATAAAAGATTTTCGCATGGGCATTCGTAACACTATTAAGAAATATATTGCATTATGGAGCAAGGTCATCTTCCCATCTTGATTTGCAATGTGTTTCGACCAAAAAGTATTTTCCTGAGTCGCAACTAAGGTTTCACGATTTAGGCCTTTATCATCACTGACGAGTTCTAAAAGACGAAATAGCTGAGTGATGTGATATAATTACTTTTATTCTTTCCTTGTGTGTCTATAGCGAATCTACAAATTGTAGAAACTAATGATGAATTTAGTCCTAAAGTTTTGCAGTAATCTGTGACATATGACACATTGATTTCTTTAAACAATGACAAGGTATATAATTTACATATGTTTTTAGCGTCCTTAAGATCATCAGATTATGTTGAATAATTGAACATTGAATTATGAAACTAGTGCACATCTAGATTTTGCATCTTGTTAAGACCAATATTGAGTTTCCATAGTTACCACCAAGGCTTCAAGATGTAGGCCCTTGATAATAGACGAGTTCTTAAATAATCAAATAGTGTTTGATGTAATTTGCTTGATTTAATTTTGTCATTGAAATATAGGAAGTGATCAATCTTATAGAAAAAAGCAATATCTTGTAAGAAATCTGATATCATTACAAGTGATGATATCAGTTTTACACTGATGACATAATATTCGTGATTCGTGATAATAAGTTGGTTTTCCAAAATAATTCCCGTGTGTATTCATGCTTTTCTCTTAGCTGGTATATAAAAAAGTCTTTTAACTTTTATAACTATTTAAAATGGCCCAGACATGGCATCAAGCATTACGTCAAATTATCTGACGTCAATGAACATACTATTAGTTCCAGGACTTTCTTGAACATCGTTTTGTTTAATGGTTAGATCGGGGATTTCATTTGATTTTCCTCTGAAAATGTAATATCGAAAAAACTTAATGTTTTCCCGTTAAACAGATATATCACTCGTATGACAGAATATATCGATATTTTTCGATCTGGCTTAACAAAGTAGATTAAATTACTGTATATCGGGAAATTTTTGCAGCGTTAAATTTCACAATTTTTGTCCACGTCCCCATACCTGTGTGAACTAACTGTGCGAGGGATTCATGCTGACTTGTCTTCGTTTTCACACGAGGCTGAATGTATTGAAGAGTTTATCAAAACAGGTCACCAAGACCTTGCAAAGTCGTTTAATTAATTTGCACTTTCAGATATATTGATAACGTCTTGTCTTTCTATAACAAGAAATGTATTGACCACGTCCATAGTATATACCAACCATAATTGGAAATCAAAGACACGACAGACTCTGCTAAAGTAGCTGCTTATCTCGATCTTTTCGTACAACGAAATCAATACGGACAACTTTCCACCAAGCTGTATGTGAATTGTGAATTTTCAGTTTTTGGGTAGCAACATTCTTGCACCCACAGCCTATGGTATTTACATATCACAGTTGATTTGATATTCAATTGTCTGTTCCGATGATCACGATTTACGTGCAAGAAGAAGGATTTTCTGAAGATTGAGAATATGGATTACACAATAGTCTAATGATGTTTGCAATATTATACTAATGAGGTGTGACATATTATTCTGATGAGGTGTAAATAACAGCCTAATAATGTGTGACATAATAGATTGGTGAAGTGTGACATAATAGCCTAATGCGGTGTGACATGATAGTCTGACGAGGTGTGACATAATAGCCTGGTGATATGTGACATATTAGCTTGAAGAGGTGTGACATAATATTCTGATCAGGTATGACATGATATTCTGATGAGGTGTGACATATCTTTTCTGATGAGATGTGAAATAACAGCTAGATGAGGTGTGATACAATAGACTGAGGCGGTGAGACATATTATTCTGATGAGGTATGACATATTATTCTGATGAGGTGTGACATAATATTCTGACACAATAATTATGAACTACTTTAAATTGCACCTTACTGACACACGGTATTCTGATCGGAAAAACCTAGGTAAGCTATCACGTCTAACCAGAGAGAAGCCTCCTTTTTTCAAACGATTACCTGGTGACAGTGATGTCCCAAACAGTCTATATCATCCGGATGTGCTGATGGAGTCGTATTCATACCTTATGAAAAAATGAATAAAAAAGATGTGCTTTTTTCATTGTAAGTTTAACCGACAGATATGAATCTTTCCGAAGAAAATCCTTGAATTAAGCTCAGTTGACAAATATCATGACACAAGACTCGTGTATGATATAACACTTTACAAGAACATGTTTGTAAAGAAATTTAGGAGTTATTATATGTACTTTTAAACAATAACAGATTATGTTTAAACATAGTTAGTTAGAATGTAAAATTCATTCATTGTCACAATAAGACATACCTGCCATAAAGTTGGTGATGCAATCTGTAGTCTTACAACAACATTGATAATTGTGGGAGACTGTTCCGTTAGTACACATTGGGTGATGGTCACAGTGCTGAAATAATAGTAACTTACTGCCAGACGTTTTTGTAATCTTTCATTGCTTGATTTACCGATAGAATGTCTTTTCCAGGGTTTTGCTGTAATCATTATATCTAATAAATAGCTACAGAGTAACCATAGTATTTGTGGTATTTATTACACCCAGCACACCTGTCATTGAGTGAAGTTCTCACCGATTCAATGTAGATGTCCGAACTTCAGGACATCACATGCACCATGACGTCAATAACGCAAAAATATGAAGTGAGAATAACGAAAATCTAATTTATATGTCTCTTAATGAATGTAATATTCACGAATGCTTGCACAGGTACTCGTAACTCAGTTAAATTATATTAAAGAATCCTACATTAGTTTCGATTTTATTACCGATCTATGAAACAAGCTTACGCATTTTTCATTAAATCGAGTCATTCCGATGTTTTCATTTTACCAAGCCAAAGGACGGATTAAATCGATTTATGAGTCTCGTCATAAAACAATTGTAGCTTTTTCAACATCCCCTATTTTAAATACAGTGTACATTTTACTTATTAAAGAAATATATTCATATATGTTCAATATCTAAGAGTTTACCCACTTCAGGTTCTTCACATTTTCCATGTGCATGTTCTCTGTCCACATGTATTGTACACGCCTACAACAGAAACGTAAATCAACGTATTAGACATTGATACATAAAAAACACTTTGTAACCTGTCTTACTTTAGACTTAAGCAAAATATTGTTAATGTTTAACAATTAAGAATAAAAGATTTTCGCATGGGCATTCGTAACACTATTAAGAAATATATTGCATTATGGAGCAAGGTCATCTTCCCATCTTGATTTGCAATGTGTTTCGACCAAAAAGTATTTTCCTGAGTCGCAACTAAGGTTTCACGATTTAGGCCTTTATCATCACTGACGAGTTCTAAAAGACGAAATAGCTGAGTGATGTGATATATCTACTTTTATTCTTTCCTTGTGTGTCTATAGTGAATCTACAAATTGTAGAAACTAATGATGAATTTAGTCCTAAAGTTTTGCAGTAATCTGTAACATATGACAAATTGATTTCTTTAAACAATGACAAGGTATATAATTTACAAATGTTTTTGGAGTCCTTAAGATCATCAGATTATGTTGAATAATTGAACATTGAATTATGAAAGTAGTGCACATCTAGATTTTGCATCTTGTTAAGACCAATATTGAGTTTTCGTAGTTACCACCAAGGCTTCAAGATGTGGGCCCTTGAAATCTGATATCATTACAAGTGATGATATCAGTTTTGCAGTGATGACATAACATTCGTAGTTTTGACAAACCTCTGCAATGATATCTAGTCACTACATTGTTAAGGTTGAATAAGTTGGTTTTCCAAGATAATTCCCGTGTGCATTCATGCTTTTCTCTTAGTTGGTATATAAAAAGGTCTTTTAACTTTTATAACTATTTAAAATGGCCCAGACATGGCATCAAGCATTACGTCAAATTATCTGAAGTCAAAGAACATACTATTAGTTCCAGGACTTTCTTGAACATCGTTTTGTTTAATGGTTAGATCGGGGATTTCATTTGATTTTCCTCTGAAAATGTAATATCGAAAAAACATTAATGTTTTCCCGTTAAACAGATGACAGAATATATCGATATTTTTCGATCTGGCTTTGCAAACGTAAAAAATATAGTCATTCTATCATATTCTTGAAAAATATATGAAATCAAACTAAAAGCCGTAAAATACCCTCTATTTAATGTTGTGTTGTGCTTTTCTTTAGTGTGTCTATCCTGTGGTCCTTTGTGACACGTGTATGCCCCGATTCTGCTTTGGAGATAATTTTAGCCATTGTTCAAAAATATTTAAATCGTCCATCGATTTTTGTCACCAAGGAAAAAGAATCCCATAAAAACACCCTAGGACGATCACATTCGCCAAAACTTCAAAACATGTCAAAATTTAAGAGAGAAAAAAACTTATTAAATTTCGACTACAAAGCATTGACATTTTACCCTAAAACCCTTCATACAAAACTTCAAAATCATATACTTCTTTGTGAGTGACTCTTACAAAGTACGGATTGACGATTGACATTTTATGCCTCCGACCACTTCATGATAAACACATCAAAACATCATAACCATACATATCCTTTGCGCAGCAAGGACTTTACTTGATTAGATTTAAGTTGTCACGTCAATGTTACAGGTAAAATTACCCTTTACCATTTTAGAAATAAAAAGCTCGTGTACAAGATATCTCATGAACCTTGTTCTCATTTAAGAATGTGATATTACTTACTTGGAATGATCAAGATTTAATGAAGCAAAATACGCATACTCTTTCGGAACACCTGGTCTTATTCGGCTTGTACTTTTTTTGTTCATGTTCTACCTTGTTGAATTTGAGGTTTGGACGATGACTATATTCACCAGTTGCTATTCTCCTGGTTTGTTTTATCCAATTTCATTATTTTAAATTTTGATATGTCATTTACATTAACTTACTGATTTGTGGTCGTCACAATGTTCACCCAGACAGGAGAAATGGGAACGGTGGTCTGAAAAATAGAAAAAAAGTACTATCATGTTTGATAATATGAGAGAAGAGAGGTAGAATATTGCAATAGTTACTTCTCTTCGGCTTGGTAACGTTGTGCTAGATTTTGTTTTTTTCTTTCAATAATAGTTTGTAGTTGCCATGGAGAAATCGTTATAATGGACGCATACTCATGTTTCCTTACCAGAACATAGGAGGTAATTTTTCCAAAATATAACTGAAGAAATGAATGGTTCAGTACAATTGTCCCTTCTGACGCTCGGACGAACAAACATCAGACAAAAGAAAACTAATCTTAAACAGATGAACTCTTGTCTCATATATAAGACATTTAATGCGATAAGATCGATTTAATACCTGTTGTTTATTTCGTTTCCCATACATTTCATTCATATTGTTACAACACTATGATATATTGGTTTTATAATCAATAATATAAACAACCAAAAAGACAACATACCGAGAATAGTTGACATATTCATTATCTTGGAGTCATGTTTATATCAAGAGAAATGAATTTTCATTTTGAAATGTTGGATTGCTCTTAGAATGTTACTTCCTTATAAACCTAATTTTACTCATAATCTGTTTCCATTAAGAAATTGTTTTGAATACGTTTTTCTGGGAACGGAATAGGGACAATTGCAGGTCTTGAGTCGATTTGTGATTTTAATGAGAATTTACCATTGGTGAAAGTGTTAACCATAGCAATTTGGCAAACAGAGTCATATTCCTGCTAACATTACAGGATTATTTTACGGGGAAAACATCTGACAATCTTACGACTTCATTATTTGCATTTACTTTATCTTATAATTAACTGTATTTAAAAAAGCTTTTAATTTGTGTGTTTTATAATACAGCTACACCGAAAATGAAATACACTTGTTTCTCTTGTTTTCAAAATAAAAGCATTTAAATTAATCCTCCAACCGAAGAAAAATGGTGAGATTAAGGAAAATTATAACGCACTGGAGGAAATTATACAACATTCTAGAGGAATGTCAGAAAATGTTAAAAAATGGAATAAATTCCATACATACTGTGATCCGCAGGTGCTGGGTGATGTGCCTTTGTTAAACTCACAGTGGAATCTATTGCACCTGTGAAGATATCATTTCATTACACTTATAAGATAATAACAATAATGATAATAATAAAACATAACAATCATATTAAGTCACATAATAACAATATTTACCTAAATTAATTATCATATAAAGAAAATGCTATGCAACTTTAAAATGAACCGAAAAAAACCTATCATATGATATATTTTCCGGACATTGTAGCGCCTAGTAAGTTAATCTCCACTGGTGATAAGAAACTGGTGAGCAAGTTTACTCTGAAGACACGGATACATGTATAGACATTTGTTAAAAATCTACCTTCCTACATTTAAAACATTTATAAGATGAACAGTATGTAGTCAGGCATTACTAAGTTAGATTATGACTTTCATGATTTCTGTTGCTACACATACTTTAAACCTATACATGCAAATTACACTTTAAAAATCCACTTGGAAGAAGGTAATGTTTGTTCATGAACAAATATAACGATGAAACTACTTCCTTCCATAGTGAAAATGCCTTTTTTCTGATTAAACAAGAAGAAGACATATCAATCCGTGAAAATGTATTTGTGCAAACAAAATGTTTATCAATCCTTTAATTTAATCTGTAGGATTTATTATGAAATAAAGTAACCACACAATTAAGTGAATCGTGTTCGTACCACTGTTTCAAAGAATTCTCCATACTACCACTATGGTGTCTATAAACACACCGTGTGAATTTATAGACACCATTATAAAACATGAATTAAGTATATTAAACTTTGAATAACTTGAAATTAATTCTATATGACTCTTCAATGACGAAAGAAGGCAATAGATATAGATGGAAAATATAAAAATGTTCGAAAAATTTAAGTCGACCTTTGCATGTAAAAGGTCAAGTGCGGTGACTTTATAATCGAAACAGTTCATTATGTTTGGTAATGAAGTTGATAATGGATATGCACTCTTATGTTTATAAGACACCACATACAACTACATAATTAAAGCATATCTTACCTATACAGAGAAGAAGCAGAGTTACACAAAATATCTTCATTTTTTTCTCTGGATTTTAGTTGACTACAAATAAGCGCATAGACTACCGACCTAAAGGCATTGTCTGATTCCTTAGTCTTTGTTATCAGGAATGACGTCATAAGCAGGATAGGTGACCTCGTAATCAGGTCATGACTAAGAGATTGTATATTGATTTTTGCAATAAAATCCATAAAATGTATATATATTACTAACTCTGAGATAATATGAGAGTATAAAAGGGGTCACAAAATATAGAATCGTATAGCAACGCTACAAGACATTGATAAGACTTGTTATTGCACTTTTTCAGATTTCTTATCTTTATCATAGTTTGATCTGAGATAAAAGGACTGAAAGCAACGAGAAGGTGACACATACGGTCATGAGCATGTATTAAACCTCTCAGAAAAGGGACTGGAGTTTGATTCCATAAGTTACGGGTCCGACTATAAACTGTAAACCTTATTTCTAATACTTATTATAGTTCCGATGATAAACCCTGGTTTAATGATCGTCTGAAAACCCTGCTTAAGCAATACTCAGTGACTTTGAATAATTTCAATGTTACCAAATGTCGCTCGACGTGTGCTGTTCTTAAAAGTAAGAAAAATTAGTATAAGATAATGGAAAGTAAGTTTGAAAGGCAATATTTACTGGCGAAAGTGATATGTTGGAATATTTGAAAAAACATAATCCAAGGTCCTTTTTTAAAATAATTGGAAAGAAGAAAGCGGCTCCGCCTTTGTTAAACTGCAGTCAATTTTGTATTCACTTTAAAAGTTTGTCTTTTGTTCACAAAGATACTTAAGTTTTTCATGACGACATTTATTTTAGTGACAATAATACTGTATTTGAAGAATTAGATGCACACATTTCATTACAGGAAATTAGTAGTGCTATACGGAAATTGAATTGTGGTAAATCACCTGGACCTGATGACCTATTACATGAATGTTTTAAAACTTGCGAAAAATTGCTTCTTCCAACCCATTTAATAATGTCCTTGAATCTGGTTACTTTCCTTCTAATTGGTCATGAAAGGCGATCGTAAGGACCCTTATAACTTTAGAGGTATCAGCTTAATTAGCTGTCTTTGTAAATTTTTCACATTTGTATTGAATAAACGCATTCTATGCATGAAGTATAACTTTCTAACTGATGCATAATTTGGGTTTCGCCCTGAAGTTAGCACGATTGATGCTATTTTTGCATTACGCTCTTTAATAACTAAACTTTGTCTTCAAAGAAGCGTTTATATTGTTGTTTTGTAGACTTTCGTAAAGCGTTTGATTTTGTCGATAGATTAAACTTATGAAACAAGTTGACAAAGCTTGGTGTTCGAGGGGAATTGCTAACTATCTTTAAGTCACTATATAAATCAGTTAAATCTTGTGTCTCAATTAAAGGTAAATGTTCTAATTATTTCGAGGACAGTATAGGATAAATGCAAGGGGAAATATTATCACCTATATTGTTTTCACTTTTTCGTTATGATTTAGAAATTTCATTTATTGAAAATGAAGCAATTGATTACGATTTTTTTAATTCTTTCTTTTATTGTATGCTGATGATTTAGTAATGTTTTTCCGAAACCATTGAAGGTCTGCAGAGTCTTCTAGATTATTCTTCACAATAATTCCACAGCATAGAAACTGACAGTTAATATAGCGAAAACAAAAATTGTTGTTTTTAGAAGTGGAGGTCGTATACATGATAGAGAATAATTGACTTATAACGGTGAAAAAGTGGAAGTTGTTGACGGTTTTTTCTACCTAGGAGTGAAACTTAAAGCGACTTTAATGTTAATAAACACTACGAGAAAACGATATAAAATGTTCTATTCTCCAATAGAATGTTACGAAACTAAGGCTTTCTACTAATTACTAAAATTAAAATTCACTGCAACCAAAGACATATATAACGTCTCTGCTGCAACCAATTTTCTTGATATCTAAAAAATAAAGGATGTAAACAATGTGGTCCTGATGTAAGTCATACGCTCATAACCCTGATTCTGCGCATGCGTATAAGCCTAGAAAGAAGCAATATGGCCTACGCAAATACTGAAAGTAGTGAGAGGCTAAATGTATTGAAAAATGTTCACAAATAACCACTGAGCTATATTACTTTCCCCATACTCCTACACTTTGAAATGCAAAAATTACTAAAATAAGAGAACCAGAGGCTATTTTCCTTAATTTTAAACGATTTTATATCTTCTTTAATTCTTATTTTAAATTTGACGACAATAATGTGAACAAAACAAAATAGGTAAAAAAAATAACAAAATAAACACAACCATACATTCATCGCCAACAAGCCAAATGATAAATAGCTCTATGATGAAGTTGACTAAATAAAACCCTTGAAATCCCCAAGATGTTGCAATTACTATCCTATCAATATGAGGATTTAAACAAATCGAAAGGACTTTATACCTACTTCTCTATTTTAAATGTATTGCAAAGTAATAGTCCTTACTTATTATAATTAAATCTGTAGTTGAGGAAAGTAGAGAAGGTGTACACAGCATTTCAGATAGATAAAAGTGTAAATATTTACATTAAATGTATTTACATGTCTATCTTCCTTGAAGTATCATGGTTAGATTTTTATTCCAGTAATCATATCTATAAAGACATAATTCTATGAGATTAAACTAGACTTCCATATATATACAAAATTTACAATATTTTCACTATAGCTACTACTATTTCTGATCTCCAATGCATTAGATAATGTCACCATTACACGCAAAATGAATAAATATGTTATGGAAATATTTCTTTTTAGTTAATTGATAATTATAGACATGAATATTTTGGTTTTTTATATGCGTTTTGTTTGAAGGAATATTTTCATTTCAAGGAACGTTGATACACATTAACAAACCTAGAGAAAGCAGCACAATCAACCTTCATCAAATAAAACTAAAAGACAAAAAATATAAGTTATAACAAAGTCAACATCATGATCAGTACAGTATTAAAAATATATTATTCATAAATCATGAGCACCAATTGTACCTTGTCTACAAAGCGCAAACTTTTTATGTACAAAAAACTTGAAAAGGTGTCATGGCGGGGGGTGTGAAAAACCTGAAAAGTGTCATATCGGCGGGTATACGCGTGGGACGAACAGTCTAATGAGGTAAAATGATGTTGTATATTTAGACGATCTTGCCACAACGACAAGGATTAAAGCAAAACTGATGTTCTGTTTGTAAGTTTTGTTTGTTTATAAGTGCTGTTAGTTAATAATTCAAACCAAGCCCCCAGACTAGCTTCTTATCATGGCGCCAACTCGCACGTACAGTGTTCTGTACGCTTACGTCATGTCGAGAAGGATTCATAAGCCGCCATACAGTAAATATACTGTAAATCAAGTCACGCAGTTACAATAAACTTTGAAGATACAAGAAACCATTTTTTGCTTACTTACGGCAGAGACGTATCTCTGCTTACGGTTAATATGGTTGTTTTCTAGGAATATTCACAGCAGGCGATAAGAATCACGTCAGCTCGATCTTCTTCAACAGCACAGGTCGGGGATGTCCGTGAGCAAATTCCGTAAAATACATTGTTCAAAATTTATCAATAGTTCAACCACATTGTGCTTCTTTTTTAAATATATAGTAATCGTATTGCTATCAAAAAAATAAACTTATTGTGGATGCTATTAAAAAAGCGATTTAAAAGATCGCGGCATTATTTACGCAGAAAATTGCCGCTAGAGGGCTCTAACTCTTTTCGATATTTCAGCCAATGAGAAGGCCAGGATCGGTAAATTTTGTCTGAAAGGCCGTCGCTATATCATATGCCATTTGTAAAAAAAATATGAACCTAAACTTCCCCTTTACTATCTTTTGGAACGTATTCAAATTTTTTCTGTCGGCTGTATGCGATAGGCTTGTCATATTCATATTGAGCATGCTCTCGTTTTTGTCAGTTTCTAGCGAACGTTTTTTCTGTAATTTCACAGAAACTGACAGTAGAAGTATCTTGTTTAATTTAAGTAATTAATTATATCAATTAAAATATGATGTTAACCACTTTCTGTGATAATAAAGAAAAGACTACAAAGCAAGGATATTTTTTAACAATATTTAATTCTATGATAATGACAATACATTAAACCGGCAATGCTCTAACCCGTAATAGGACCCGACACTGTGAAAATACAACGAAAGTATTCAGAACATTTTACTACAGATGTTTGAAATATGTTGTTTTGGTTTACTATTTATTATTATCGTTTATAAACATCAAACCCAAGTGTATTAGTGTTTTGAATACAATACAAAGCAAAAATTTCAATTACATAGATAAAACTGTTAATTGAAAATTGAGTTTTGGTTTTGAAGTTCTCTATGAAAAATACTTACATGATGTTAGAGTTTCTGGAAAAAAAAGTATTAATGAAAATAAAGAAATAAATACAAAATAAAAATTATCAAAAATATTGTAATCTAAACTCAAAATCGATAAAACGAAGGAAAATTACGAACAAAAGGAGAAGAGTATATACAGATATATACAAAAATAGGCAAAATTTTAAATTAACTTAACAGGAAGAATTGTAATGTTAATCACGCATAAACGAAACGAGATAATCGCATTTATATTTAAATATAGCTCATTGCTTTCTAAAGTAGCTTCTCGTGAAATCAACTATCTACTATCACTTTGAGTAGTTTTAATAACGACATTATCTTATCAAGCTCTTTCTTAACTTTTTATTTTACTACTTACGAAAATATTCTGTACACAGATTGCAAGTTTTGGCACAGGAAGCGATGGCAAAGTTTTTCACATGGATTTCTTGTGAATTACATAACTGATTGCCCAATGTCGCACAGTTATTGTAGAGGTCATGATCGATACACTGAGCGGAGACTGTTGGCAGCGGAGAACCTTGTAACACAGAACAGAAGAATATGTATCAAGTTTCGTTATGGTAATAACATGCCGATGAAAGCAGCATGCTAATTTTACAGTTAAAGATATAATTATCGTGAGTGTTAATATTTTACTATATATATATACTTGTTTTGCTTTAATTAAGATCTGCCCATTTTCAGCCACATCAGTCCTTGTTTAACTTAAAACCTGTATCCTTTGGTCAGTTTGTCTAACTGAAGAAGCGGTCATTCAATACGATCTGACACCTAGTTTTCATACTGATAAGAGTACTAACACTCTATAAGATGCCACTCCGTATACTATCATAAAAAGATGGATTGCAGATTTAAAGTTAAGATTGGCAAACAAGTAGGACGTCTTGGAAGTCTTTTCACTTTAGTAAATCCCAAAATAGTTGCTATATTACATGATATGGTTATTAGTGAAAGACGAGTTACAGAGAGACATATAGCTTGTTTTGCAGTAGGGTTTCAGAAATTGATCAGAAGCAAACAAGAATGGATTAAGTAACTGAAAGTTGTCGCAACCTGAAAGCAAAATTTTGTTTCATTCAAATAGTGTGGATTCAAAATATACTTTCGAATCATCCACTGTTTAAATTTATGAAATTGTTTGATTTGTTTTGGACGACTCCACCATTCCATGTGGTTTGTTTAGACCAACTGGGATTTTCAGCGGGTGCATTTTAGGTGTCGTTTTAATTCTTATAGATAGCGGTACGGTTCAGCAGGTGCACATTTGCGTTGTTGTTGATTTTAGTAAATTCTACGTGGTCAAAGCATGAAACTAAAAAAGTGAATTCATTACATATGAAATTGCTAACAAATTGAGTTTGTAATAAATAAATCGTATTGGATTAGGTAGATAAACACATACAATTATTTCGAAAACATTCCATATTTAAAAATGCGGAATTTATTGAATTTTGGAGTTAGTACACGTTTTCATCTGGTATCTAATATTCTATCGACCTGTTTGTATTTTCCTCAGTCGCCTGCTAGGTTTTAAAATTTAGGTTGAAGCATCGTGACGAGTTCTAAAAGAACGAATCGGCTGTACAATGCAATTTAATTCATTTCTACAGATCTAATTCTAAAATCGTATATGAATGATGTTATTAACTTGTGTGTCTTCTTTAGGTATTGGGACACATCGCCACCAACGGTGCATAAACACCGAGGAGAATTATGTTGAAAACGGATACCATAAAATTCGAACCTTTATAAGTAAAAATCGCCTCCTTTCAATCATATTTTGTCTTCACGTCGTTTATATTGCGTTTACGATGGTATATTTACGAAGGTATGAAATCAATTGGATACAAACATAAGTTAAATATTAAGGATTTTGCGCAGAGTCAATGAGATCTAATGTAGATAAATAGCAGTACTTTTATTTCGTCTCTGTTCATTGATTTTCTAACATTTGTATTCTAACAAACAAACAATAATATCGGCATAATTCTCCTTTTAGAATTATTGAGAAACAGATGACTTACTTGTGGCACAATGGTTGCACGTCTTCGCACAGTGTTCTTTTGCGTAGTCCAAAGATTGAGAATCAGTACTTGGACAAAGGAAGCCCGCCATTCCAGCACAATTATTATCTTTGTCAACACATGGGACAGGAGTTGTCACTGAAACATTAACATTTAACAATGGAGGAATTACTGACACCAGATACCGAACAAGTGAAGTGAAAGCATTCCATATTTTAACAATAACCAACATTTTCTGACATTTTTTTTTAGATATTAGAAGCTTACATCTTCAATAAGAGATTACTAATTAGAGAACAAGTGAATGATTATATACGCTATATCCAGGGCCTATTTATGTGTGATTATTATACTTACTTGCTGTTGCGGCACAGAGATTACAAGTCTTAGCACAGTTTTCGTTGGCGTACTGCTGTGAGGCAGGATCAGTTAATGAACATAGAGAGCTAGCCATTACAGGACAGGCGCTTACTTTGTCCTCACATTGGAGTAAAGGTCCTGATCCTGAAAAATATGATATAAACAGGTACGATGACACATACAATGGGTAATCACTGGGATAAAAAAGAGGCTCCAACATTTATCAGTCCTGTAGTCCTTCACAACACAAGTCAACGCAAAACTATTATTTATTATTGCCAGTTGCTTCATGACATTTCCAGTATTTCATTTCAAATTAAAGAACTTACTTCGTATATGTTATTCTTACCTGCGGCGGTACCTACTATTGTGACACTACCCAAAAGAAAAGAAGTCTTGAATAGATAATTATATCATACAATGCTGAAGTAATATCATAATTATTAATGACCATTAACATAAAAAAGACATTTATGTCCAAAAGCAAACAATACCAAAACAAACAGAACGTATACATAGTTCAGATTAGCAAAGTTATCATAGTAGGGTTCGGTAAATGATGTGTTGTTACATCGACGAAAGTTTGCAGATAGTCTAGCATTTTGTATATCTAAAGATGTGTTGTTTTGTTAAAAATATCTTGAATAACACCTTTATTTTGCGCAACCATGACTGCGCAATTTAATGGGTTTTTTTTATCAAAGTGTAAAGTCAGTTTCTGGTAGCCTTCAGAGAAATTTCAATGGTTCCATATGACTGAACAATATCGACTTTAATATAGACATTTCTGAAAGTAAAGTAATGTGAATATCAAATACTCTGTTTTGTTTTGAAACATGATTTTATAATGCCTATTAATCACAGACGAATGTTGGGTTTTAAGGATTTGATTTGTCTCGATTACCATAATATGAAATTGTCGGCCACCAAGAACCCCATAAAGATGGCCGACACTTTCAGGTCATGGCGGTTGTAACAGGCCATTTCGGCCCCATTTTCGCTGAAATTGAACTTACTAAAAACGATGAGTGGTAATTTATGCTTCGTGAGGGTTAACTAATGTTGGTGCTATTGATATACAACTTTAGGTAGAGTGTAATCCGTATATGTTTCCAATGTTAGCGTGTTTTGTGATTGATCTGATTGGAGACGTTGCATGCCTGGTGTCCCTATTTATATGATATTCAAATGTAATTTTCGTAACTTCTACCAGAATTTCAAACACCTGTGATCGAAAACGCAGACGAGAAACAGTGACATCGAGAAGTGAAAACACATACCTGGACATCTACCACATGTTTTTTGACACTTCGTCCCAACGAGATGGACCATAAAGGGTACAGCACTGGAACACATGTTATACGTTTTGTCGAAGTCTTTACACGAAAAGGTGGAGTCTTCGTGGTCAACGCATGAAGCTAAGGATCAAATGCTTGGAATGTTGGAATAACAATTATTTAATCAATTACAAATACTGTTAAAATATTGAGATTCTGCTGGTCAGGAATGGATTATGCACAGTCACAAAGAGAATTATCAGCTTATCTATCTGCAAGGACAATCGTGTTTACAGGTTACCGTGAGCGGATGTCGTAAATAAGAATGTACAGGTGTGCTCTACTTATCAATAAATGTCTAGTTTCCTTTTACGATTTAATTACGAGTAGGTTAAAAGTGTATCACCAGTCAGGAAGTTACTGTGACTTTTCCTCATTTCATACATAGATTATGCTGCGATCAAGCTCAGATATCATGTCACATTTGGGTTGAATCTTTCAACAAATGTGTCTGTATTTTCTTGATACACGTAACGTTGTCCATGTTTCTATGGACACGTTGGGGGGTGGGGGTAAAATTTCTGGTTGACAAAAAGATTTACCTGAAATCCCTGTCGTTGGTGACGGTGTTACTAGAATAAAAATATCAACAGTCTGTTAGAAGGTCTAAATTAAGCGCACAATAGTGTATGAAATCTTAAACAGCATTACAATGAGCAGAAATAGGACTGTGTATTAGGTTCACTTATCGAAATATTACCGAAATGTCAGCTAATAAATTCCTCCTTTAATATATTGTACATAAAATAGTAAAGATACATTATCACGTAAATATACATATTACATATACTCTGTGTTCCCTTTGCTTTTTAATTTATTCCAACAAATACCACTTAATTTTTCCTCAATAATATTTGAATACTTTGAATTATTACATTGATTATTTTACGATAGAATGATGTCAAATGACATAAATTTGAATGGAGACATATAACGGATATATTTACCATCATGGACTCCGAAGGCGTTCAATATACACGTGCTATCATTATTATGACAGCAGAAACTGCACTGAAGTCCTGGTGAGTACGTGAATGGTATCGGGTTGACGTTACATAGTGGCGAGTTAGCAGCCTGTGCTATTTCGCAGTGCTGCAAGAAATATCAAGTAGGAAAGGCTAAATTTTCGCAGTATAGGATTCGTAAATCATTCGTAGAGTTTTTTGATGCAATAATATACAAAATACAAAGAGAACAAGTATAAGATTACCTTACTATGCGCATTGCAGCCAGAGGAGATGCCACCTTGGGAATGCGTGATCATGCAACCCTGGAGAAAACAATATGAAAATTTACATTAAGCAACATAACATGCATACATTAACATATATTGAATGAGATATCCTGTTGTTCTATAAGTTTGAGTAATACTATTCCATAAATGTCCATTCGTCATATTAGTTTTTTAAAAATCGACTCGACCAATCTTTGTTGTTTTAACAGTGAAGAACACCATCTTACTTTGCTGAGGTATGAGCATTTCCCTTGCATTCTCATACATGCGTGGGGGTCTTGTGCATTTATGCATATCGGGCACGTGAATGATGCTGAAAGTGAAACATTTTTCTTGAACTGGAGAAATATATTCAATTAGCCATCCAAACATTTACCATTGCAGATAAATCAATATATACTTCTTACTCATAATGTGAAAGTTATAAAAGTAATGTGTTAGAAAATTATGCTTCTTAAATAGAAGCAATTTATTGAAAATCAGTAAAATAACACGACAAAATGATTTCAGTCTATGTCAAACTTACAGCTGAGCATTTTCTGGAAAGCAATATCAGTGCAGTTCTTGTCTGTACAACACACGGCGTCTCCTATCCTCTCATGATACTGGCAGTTTGTTATCTTAAGTAAAATAAGAATACTTCACTGACAATTAATAGCACTTTTTTGTAATGATTAATGCCCTTATCATCACTGAAGAGTTCTTGAAGGACGAACAAGCATCATAATTTGGTTATACCGTTTTAAATTTAATTGAAAATTGGTATTCGCTTGTGTGTCTTTGGTTCAATCATCATAATTGCAAGTGATAAACTCTGTTGGCTGACTGTGATTTACATAATCTATATGGAGGACTTTTTAATCAATTTGAATAGTAAACAGCATACGATACGAAATGTGCGCATCTACCTGACGTTCTATTCAAAGCATTCGACAATGTAACTGATGAAGGCCATGAATTTTGGTATTAGACATTTATTCCGATCAATTTTCGATTTTATCCATATAAATTCATGACAGCATGACGAAACAGGACGAAAAGACTGTTTGATAATATTTTGCTATCGTGTGTCTGATCTAAATCCAACAGGAGTTATTCGCTTGAATGTATATCACTCTTGCATGTAGCAGAGTCTTTTTGTGTTCGTCAGTCCCTGGGATTTTCGAAGCCTACATTTCAACGCAATATCAAGGATCCATGATCGGCGGAGATAAAAATGTATCAAGAGGGTAACAACAAATGTATATTTATGGCACATGGTGTACCATTTCTTTGTCAATTCATGTGACCTTAACAGATAATACACTCATTAAAAAAATCGAATAACATACAAATACAAACATATTATTTCATCATAAGGAGAACTAGCTGCTACCTGAGGGGACACATGATATCAAGACACCGTTTCCAAACTACACCCACTCCAGTTTTGAAAGGTACTATCGTTGTTGCCCTTTTAGAGAAGACATAACTCGTTATATATATTTCCCAAGAATTACATGGCGATGCGCCGATATTCAATATCACCGAATTGCATTTGAAACTCATACCTACTGTCCAGAGCAATTACACTATCTTTAAATATTCGATTTGAAGTTTTTTAATCAATCCTATGATTTTAGATTCTATTTCGCTATGTATGAATCATATTTGATTTGCTAGAAATGACATTTAGTTATTATGACAATTTGCACCTCCTCGCATCCAGTCCGTAGTTGACCATGCGTAACGGTTAACATGCAGCCCTCATTCGATGCACAAGCCGATTGCGTACAGTTTCCAGTGAAGGCGTCACTGCACACTGGGCAGTACAAAGGTTTAGCTGTAGACGGAGGCACAGTCGTACTTATGAACTTGTTGGTAGTACTTGAAGCAGTCATAGTGGTTGTTGTCCCCACTAGTAACGAAAATTAATTGACAGATGTTGATAACGAAACAGAATATTCGGCTTATTTCAACACTCAATAGTTCTATTGATATAACTATGTAACATTTCATTGGACCACGAAAATATTGTAAAAATATTTGGGTATATTGTAACCATCGTTAAACTCACATTCTTTGATAGAAGTTAATTAAAAGGGTATTAACAACCTGACTATAGTACAGTTTTTCGAGGATATCCCAAGTCCGTGATTATTTCTAATGAACTGTCTTCAATTCCTTTATTAATGTCATTTCATTAAGTTTTATAGCTATGTATGTCTAAATTATCATAGAGCAGGCTACAAGCTAATGTTAGTCCTCTCACTTTTTTGTGTTCTTACTTCTTAAGATTTGTGCTATTTGCTGTGTTCGAATAAAATTATTATTTACTCGCGTGTCTTTTGCACAATCTTAAGTTCATCTAAGTGATACTTACTGGGGTTTTGAAATACAGAGTTTATACATGTCTGTGTTCTGCAACAAAATTTGGAGCGTGGGTCAGTAAGTGTGCCCAAGTGCTGCTCCCGGATACAATCGGGTTCCTGAAAATATGAAAATATATCCGTGCAAATCAGATTGAAATACTTAATTAAGCCTTCCAGCTATATTGTTCACCAACGCTCGTTAAATCAAGGTTTAAAAGACCTTAAATTGTTGTGTTAAATGACCGTAAACGTCGTTCACTTCATCACAACAATATTATCTACCTTAATTGTTTTAATCACTGTAATGGTGTTGCAATGCTGATTTAAAGATATCTATTTATAAAATGTTACGAATTTTATATTATATGACAAAATACCATCGCGATAACAAGACAATTAGCCAGCTTCATCCTGCTTGCGATTACATATTACAATAGTTCAAGAGCTGCACTATCTCGAGTAAGAACGACCGTCAACTCTCTGATAATCGCTTGTTAACGTCAAACGGTAACCATCAATAAACATCCTTCTGAGTCAGAATAGCAAAACACAAAGAACCTTGAGGTTAAAAATTACCTAAATAAAGGCCCTAACCGACAGCAATGCAAAGACAACACTCCTAAGGCGGAAAGTATTTTTGTACTCAACTGTGCCTTAATCAAACAATATATTTTTTTGCAAATTTGAAAACAGCAGCTTGTGCCTACCAAAAAATGATGGACAAAAGTAAGTTACCATGCAATGCAAAGTTGTTGATTTAAGGCGATTTTACATTACAGTTAATTTGACGACATACCATTATACAAATGACACTGACTATTCATACCGGCAGTGCTAGATAATAACATGAACTTCCAAATGCAAATTTTGAAGGTTTCACTCAATGTACCGCAAATATTCACAAAACTTGTGTATGGATATCTATATATCAATGGAAATCAATATAGAGACTACAAAACTGCACATTAATTTCAGAGCCTAATTTACATGTTGACAGCGGGTTGAGGCAATGCCATTCCCGTTGGTGATCACTTCACACATCTCATCAGGAGCACAACGGTGATGCAGATCTCCATGGCATTGGTTCTTCTGTACGTCTGGGCAATCTGGACATTTAACGCCCTCAAGATGGGTATTGGTGGTACCTGTTTTGGTTAAAAAATATTCCATTTTAATTTGCCCTTTTATGTTAAGAGGGTTTTTAATGTATTTACGTTTGTGCTGAAGTGTATGTAACAAAATCAATTTTATTCTAGTTTTTGATACCAGGGACAGATGTATTGCGAGAAGTTTACACACGAGTTAAAAAAAGGAAAAAATCTTATATTTTACATTTATTTACGTTTCTTCAAGAACAGCGGAACAGCCCGACAACTGATGGAACAGTAAAACATCTACTTCTGTATGGCTGTAGGGACCATAGACCAGAATTTCATGTAGTTGAATTTTCTTAAGTAAAACATGTCACTTCTATCGACATCATAGACAACGGATGGTTCGAGTAAAATTTAATTGAAAAATTAACATAATCCGCTGTTTATAACATTTGCATTACTATTTTGTTATTTTGAAGTTGAAACGTAAATGTCTTGGCGACAAGTAAAATATTTTCCTGATTAATAACCAAAGTTTTGCTCAATTATTCAATGACATTTTCAGTAAGAATTACTTTAAGCAGTGTGTACTTATTAATCTAGTTCTGGAATCGTGATTATCTAGCAAGATAACGATATGTCGGCCCGACTTACTTTTGACGAAGTCGACACATGCCTGGTCTTTACAGCAACAGTCTGGGATGTCGCCGTGAGGGTCCGGGACTTCATTATCACACAAATGATGCTCATCACAGTGCTAGAAAAGAACAATAAGAAACAAGATTTCTTTGTAAATTAATTAAGAAATCTAATCCCACCATTTTCATGTTTAAACATCCTTTATTCCAACTGACCAGTACATTGTATTATCCTACTTTTCGTGTAAAAATTGACGAAGAAAAATCAAACAGAAATAGGTGTTCCCAAAGATTCCGGAATCTTAATGATAGAATTTTTTTAATAAACGATAATCGTGGAAAACCCAGACTAACAGAATAGGCGTGTAACCATTCCGTATTGTTGTTGAAAGTAACAGCAATAACGGTTTGAAATTTTATATAATGATAGAGTTGGTCAATGCGAATTAGTTTGTCAAAATGTAACAATGTTTTAGAGACGTTATGTGACATAGATATAGACAAAAGAACTATGAAAACAATAACAATAACAATAAGCAGAACTTGCTTCGACTGTAAACAAATTACATGTCTCAATTTATTCGATATTTCAGGACTTATTCCCAATATCACGAGTTCCGTATGGCCGTCATCATGCTTGCCATTAGCACGATATGAAGTTAGATGTGTTCGATGCTGTTGCGTTTTATTCTTTTAAGTTGGTGATCAGATTTTAACATTTTTTGTTTTTACGTGTTTGCCATCTAAGTGCTTCTCCAAAACAAATACAGTAAATCAAATACCAGAACTGCTTTGTTTTATAATTAACTACATATTCAGAGAGGCTAAGAAATGAAAGTTACATAAATGTATGATATATACAAACAACACCATCGAAGAGATAAAACCAAAATTAAACCGCAGGGTTATCGCAAGAAAGTAATTTGAAATAACACATACATATTCAAGGTCTGTCTGATTTCCAAAACAGTATGTGGATATGCCTTTTTTTAATATTCGAGAAAAAGGGAAGCGCTTAGTAATTATTAAAAATATGGATCGAGATAAAATGTAGTGCAAATACTTACATGATCACATTTAAAAGTTTGGTGATGCAATACACAATGCTGAAAATAGAAGGAAGTAGAAACGGTTTTTTACATCAGACAGCAGTAATTAGAAAAAAGACATAAAAATAACACGGTATTTTTACAGGTGTGGCTTGACTTCTTGGAAAAAAAGATCCAAGAATCTCTGTTAATTCAACCATATCAAAAGCTCTGGAATTAAAGTTCGCATGACCTTTTATATTCTCTCATTTTTATTTGGAGAAATATGGTTTTGAAGTGAACACATCAATCTCAAAATAATTCTTTTCTCAAAATGGCTCGAATCGGAATAATGTCAGATATGGTAGGTCTATCAGCGAATACCGAGAGTACATAGCTTTTATTGTTTAACGACACGAATGGTTATTTCAGTGTGTACCGTCTTCACCTTAATAGTAATACTTAAATAGTCTGGTCTTTGTTTAAAAGCAAACATAAAAAAATCATTAAGACAAACTAGCACTGCTGAAGAGAAATGGTATAAAAGAACACTAATGGGATTATACCAGGCATTATAATACAATTAAACTAGTAGTATAGTGTTGTCTTACAGGCATCATAACACGGTTTAATTAGATCATGATTAATTAGATCATGATTAATTAGATCATGATTAAACCTTAAGTGAAACAGTTCATGTCATATCATTGTAGTAGTACTTGACACTGTTCTACTGCTTAATCAGACAATACAACTTACCGGTTCTTCGTGTGTATTGCAAATGTCAGCACCGCATTCGATTCCTCCGCCTTATCAAACGAACAACATTTTAATGAATTACATTACACTGCAGTTTTCTTTCTCAAAACTTAAAACTAAAAAGTATCAGAAACTTTTATTTTATTTTATCAAGGAAATAAATTCAGACAAGTGGTACATTGTACGTGTAAATGAAAACTGAGAGTTGACATACCTCGTGTTCATTCTTCCTGTCACAATATGCCCAAACAAAAAAGCATCTTACCTAGTTTTGTTAAGAGGCTTGTTATGTTACCGCCTGCCTCTGCTTGTGATTGGTGTTGACGTAAATCTGAAAAACAGATTTACAGTGGCATCTGTACATGTGTCGTACAGTACGGAAGCGACCATACAAAAAACGATTATAACGAAATTTGCAGGTATTAGCATTGGCGTTAAAGGCACATTGTATTGATAAAATCTTATTATTCATATAGATTACTTAAAAGGTTATTTCCTAAAAATATATTTTGCTGTTTGCTTCATCTAAAAAATTCTTAGATAACAAGATACTTACGGGTTCTTTCAAAAAAATAATTTTACTATTAAAGTGTATTTGGGTACGCATACTTCAGTTAATTAGGTAATTGGAAAATGTAGTGAAACGCTAGTTTTATATTGTCCGTCTGCTCTGGTAGTCAGGTCAGGGTTCAGAGTTCATTCTTTGTACATCGTGGAAAAATGCATCATGGGATATGTTTACGTGAAAGTCCAAAGGAAACAGACTTACGGATTTAGCAAGGCTTAGGTGACCCATGAGGTAACTTTAATACGGTTTAAACGTTTGAAATTTGATTAATTTTGTTGAAATATGTTTGTTTTGTGGCTCTAAAGGCAAAATATGTGCTAAGGACAGGTTAATTTCTGTATTTTTCAGTTTTTTACCGCAGGTTGGGGCGAAAGCTAGGTGCAACCAAGAACCCCTACACTGTGTTTGTGATGATTGTGAACTATGGCTATGGGAACTAGGAACTTTGTATATGTAATAAAGGAAAGCATTAAAGGCGTTTAGTTTGTGTTTCTTTGGACTCACTCGACATCACAGTAAAAAACTCATGGCTGAAAACCCGGGAAAAAGAACCATCAAAATGACGGAAAAGGCACATCAGGCATTTGAGGACACAGTCGGCAAGTATAAACATAGACTGTTAAATTTATACAGAAATTTAGATTGTCTCATAACTGATATTGAGTATGAAAATATGAACTTGGATGAATTAAAATCCTTGGCATCAGACATTACCCAATCATATGAATCCTATGAACAAGTTTCAACCAAATTCAGTAAATATTTGGAAGAAAGCTGTGGAAACATTAAAACCCCAGTGTGACACGGTTTTGGACCAAATTCAATCATTTATTGACAAAATAAAACCAGTTCAAACTGTATCTGTGGTCGATAACATTTCACAGGGGTTTGTAGTCGAGGAAAATCCTCGGCATAGTGTAAGTGAATATAAAAACGGCGTTTCGGATATTATGTCAATAAAGTCGAAAACAAGTAAAACCTCAGTGCGTTCCAGCATAACTAACATCTCCAGGGTCAGTTCAGTATATATGAAACAACGAGCAAAATTGGAAGCGGCCAAAGTGAGGCTAAAATTTGTTGAGAAAGAGGCCGAATTGCAAAAATCCCTTCAGCAGTTAAAATCACAAAGAGAACTGGACGAGGCAGCAGCCGAGCTTAAGGCTATGGATGACGTTATTGACACTGGTAGCCCTATCAGAAATTGTTCACAAGCACCGTCGGATGATGAGGAGTTACACAGGAAGTCTAGGACAGTTGAATTTGTGCAAAGTCAAGCCGAAAATTTGAATACCGGTTATGAAACATTCGACCCCTATTCACATAAAGTACCGTTAAACGTTGAGGCTCGAGAATTCACCCCAGGTCAGTGTGTAACTGGACTGAATGATTTGACCAAATATATGCTAAAGAAAGACTTGCTTATGGGTAGACTCACTCAGTTTACTGATAAACCCGAGGAGTATCGTGTCTGGAAAATGTCATTCCTAAATGTTGTAAAGGAACTTGATGTAAGCCCTCAAGAACAATTAGACTTATTATCGAAATGGTTGGGGCCAGAATCTCGAAAACAGGCTGTAAGTCTACGTGCTGCAAACATACACGACCCACCCCAAGCCTTGTGTAAAATCTGGACTAGGCTCAGTGAGAAGTACGGCGCGCCCGAGCAAATTGAGTTATCTTTGAGGGAAAGGCTAAACAAATTCCCGAAATTAACGAACCGAGATGGTCAGAAATTGTTTGATCTTTCGAACATATTGGCGGAAATTCAGGCAGTAAAGGAAAACACGGCGTTCAGCTCGATAATGGCGTACTACGATTCGTCCAGCGGTATAAACCCAATTGTTTGCAAGTTACCCGTGTTCATACAAAACAAATGGACTGACTATGCGTGCAGATATCAAACCGAGCACAATGTTACATATCCGAAATTCAGTGTTTTCGAGAGGTTCATACAGGAAATGAGCTCGCGAATGAACAACCCGAGTTTCAATTACACCGATGGTACTGCGGTACCTAGCGTCAGCAAAGAACAACGTCGTACTGCGTCTACCGGAAGTAGGAATGCATACGTCTTTTCAAAGAAAACGGAAGTTAATAATGTGCCTACAGCATTTTTGTGCCCACTTCATGACAGTGCGAGAGAAGTGAAGCATTTGTTATCAGATTGCCACCTGTTTCTATCGAAATCCAAGGACGAAAAGAGGGAAATTCTCTTAAAACACGGCGTGTGCTTTAAGTGTTGTAAGGACAAACATTTGGCCAAGGACTGTACAGAAAAAGTAATCTGTACTGTGTGTAAAGGTTCATCGCAAGTATCAGGGGAGACAATCGTAAGATAAATTCCAAGTGTACACAGTTGTGCGGTGAAACCGGTCCCTTCGTGGGGAAATCGTGTGCAAAAACGGTGTTAGTAAATATCTACAAGGACGGACAACTTAATAATGTGTTGCGTGCTTATGCCATTATAGATGAGCAGAGCAATCGGACATTGGCCAAAAGTGAGTTCTTCGATTATTTTGGAGATCATTCTACGGAAACCGGATACGTACTTTCATCATGTGCCGGTGAAATTCAGGTAACCGGGAGGCAAGGCAGCGGATACGTAATGGAATCATTGGACAAGGAATACTCATTAAAATTACAGTTGATTACAGAATGCAATCATATTCCGAATGTGAAACAGGAAATGCCTACACCGGAAGTTGCACGAAACTATAGTCACATGCAGGACATTGCTCATCTTATCCCAGAGTATGAAAACGATACGCCCATATTGCTTCTCGTTGGCAGAGATCTCATTTCGGCGCATCATGTGTTGGAACAGCGAACTGGACATGAACGTGAACCATATGCACAGAAATTAAAATTCGGTTGGGTAGTTGTAGGAGAATCGTGCCTAGGTCTCCTTCACAAACCTACGGTCATAACTGTGAGCAAAACGGTCGTTTTACCGGACGGCAGACCTACTCTCATGGATCCGTGTCCGAATTACTTCAAGGCTCAGTTTGAAAAATCCGATAAGTTGCCAATTGGAATGGACATATTTCAAAGAACAAAATTCGATGATATTCCTGGTTACTCGCAACAGGATAAGGAATTCATGCGTGTCATGGAAGGGGAGTTTATTAAGGACGAGTACGGTAATTGGAGTGCACCGTTACCGCTAAAAAAGGAACGACCTACTTTGTCAAACAATATGGATCAGGCAAGGCATCGCGCAGAAAATCTACGAAAGTCGTTACTGAAAAATCCTACTAAGCGCGAACAGTTTTGTGCGTTTATGCAAAACATTTTTGACAAGGAGCATGCAGAGGTAGCTCCCGAGTTACAAGATGGCGAGGAAGCATGGTATCTACCGATATTCGGGGTTTATCATCCCCAAAAACCCAACAAAATCCGAGTCGTGTTCGATTCGGCGGCAAAGTTTAATGGACATTCACTTAACGACATTCTCATGACAGGTCCGGATCTCATAAACAATTTGGTTGGTGTGTTAATGAAATTCAGGAAGGAGCGAATTGCGATTATGGCCGATGTTGAACAGATGTTCTTCAACTTCTATGTGCACAAGCGTGACAGAAACTTTCTACGTTTCTTATGGTTTCAAGATAATGATCCCACACAACCGCTAAGGGAATTTCGTATGTGCGTGCATGTGTTTGGCAACTCGTCTTCTCCGTGTATTGCCACACTTGGATTAAGGAAATCTGCCTGCGACCATATCGATTCTTCCGCGTGCGACGAGGTGTGTTGTTTCGTCAAAGAGAGCTTCTACGTTGACGATGGGTTGACCTCTGTATCTGACGTAGGTCACGCAGTGCAGTTGTTGAGAGACACTCAAGCTCGATTACGGCAAAACGGAAACATTTACTTGCACAAGTTCTCGTCGAACAGTGTTGATGTTTTAAAGCAGTTTCCAAAAGAGGATACCAGCGAAATTTGCGATATGGACTTCGATGATATCGTTCATAGGAGTCTCGGACTACGTTGGAAAGTCGGTTGTGATACGTTCACGTTTAGTGTTTCTGATGAGGTGAAACCGTTCACCAAACGAGGCGTATTTTCTACAATACATAGTGTATTCGACCCCCTCGGCTTTGTGGCACCAGTTATTCTCGGAGGCAGACTATTAATGCGAAATGTGTTATCGTCTAAGGATCTTGACTGGGATGACCCTTTACCTCCGGACTTGAAGTCTGATTGGAAAAAATGGAGGTCTTCGCTTAAAGATCTGGAACAGTTAGAAATTTCGAGATGTTACTCCAATTCGTCATTGGAAAAGGCAATTCGTCGTGAATTACACGTATTCTCAGACGCGTCAAAGGATGCCATAGGCGCAGTAGCATACATGAAAATTTATGACGTACAGGAAAATGCTTCTGTTGGATACGTTCTTGGCAAATCGAAAGTAGCGCCTTCCCACTGACATACCATTCCAAGACTAGAACTATGCGCGGCTGTTCTGGCTACTGAACTCGGTTTATTTATATCCGAACACGTCGATGTTGTGTTTGACGCCACCTACTACTATACCGACAGTCAGGTAGTACTAGGGTATATATTTAACGACACGCGCCGTTTCTTCGTTTATGTTGCTAATTGGATTGACAAGATTCTGAAGTTATCTTCCAAACAACAGTGGAGTTTCGTTTCTAGTGAATGTAACCCTGCCGATAGTGCGACTAGGCCAATGCGTGCGAAAGACGTTGGAAAGTCAGTGTGGTTGAACGGACCCGTTGACGTCATGAGTGATTTGCAAAGTTCGTATAGAGACCAAGTATTTCCGTTGATCGGTAACGACGACGGTGAAATAACGTTCGTCAACGAAACAAATGTCATGAAAACTCACGTTCGGAAGGACTTCGCTCTCGATCCTGACCGTTTCGCGAGATTTTCGTCATGGACTAGGTTGGTGCAATAACCTTACTGAAACAAGTCGCGCATCGTCATCACAACGGAACAGACAATCCAGACGTGTTGCGTTTTGCTAACGATTCAAAGAACCTCATACTGAAGGTTGTTCAACAAGAGTTTTATTCGATGGAAATCGACTGTTTGCAGAAAGGACTGCCGTTTAACAGGAACAATTCTTTGTTGAAATTGTCGCCGTTTCTAGACGACGAGGGGCTCCTGAGGATTGGTGGTAGGATTCAGAATAGTGACATTGACTTACCTGGAAAGGATCCGATCATTGTCCCAGCAAAACATCACGTGGCTACTCTAATCGTTAGACATTATCACGAGAAATCGGAGCACCAAGGCCGACATATTACGGAAGGTAAAATACGTTCTTCTGGTTATTGGCTAGTGGGAGGAAAGCGATTAATTTCCTCTATTTTACATCACTGTGTCGTGTGCAGGAAACTCCGAGGAAAGTTTGTGGAACAAAAAATGTGTACTTTACCGCAGGATCGTTTGACACCATGTCCGCCTTTCACTTAGATTGGATTGGATGCGTTTGGACCATGGAATGTGCGCGCGAGAAAAACTAGGGGAGGACAAGCTAACGCA